GTCCTGGCAGCCGTGGCCCAGATGGACACAAGCCTGATTGCTCTGGTAGATACAACCCCAGTTGCATCCAAGGGTTCCGCTTTGTCGCAGGATATATAACCAGTACTGACTCATCTGGCTACATATTCAGGTGGAGCTAGCATTGTTGTGTGATTACCGGTTCTATAATATGTATGGTCTTTTAGTGACATAATGAATCTATATATGTCGATCTCAGTCAACATCCAGGATAATTTCCGGCGCAGCATCCCCGAAATCGATTCATAACAGCGACATAAATATTCGATAGGCAAGCATAGATATGTACAGGTGAGCTTAGTGACCGGACATGATAATATTAGTAAGGTTTATTTAGATGGTAGATTATCGGTAGATGTTTCTCTATTGAAATCTGGGCACACAGTAAAACGAAATACTGTGGACATGTAATTGATAAAGCACTTTGCGTTTTGAACCATACAGTAAAACTCATCCCTCCTGCTAACGATCCTCTTCTTCTGTACCGACAAATGCAAGTAGAAAATTAAAATAATGAGAGTTGGGGTTTTCCATGTCTTGCAACAATAATATAACAAAGAGAAAATAGCTAATAAGCAACGAGGATATACGAAATAGCTATCAACTTTCACTGTCACGGGTAAACATATGGTTTTAGTGTGTTGCCTGTAAAGGTGGTCTCAAAACATTCATTCACAGGGAGTTCCGAACAGACAATCCAAACGCCGAGTTTCTAGTAGGTGATATAGATCAATGTCTCATGCGACCTTTTGGTTTGAAACTGAAAGAAAATTGGATGTGCTGGCATTGAGTCCATATCCTCTGCCACATGTATCGCTTTCATGCGACCTTTTGGTTTGGAATTAAAGGAAAATTGGATGTGCTCTCAATAGTCCATATCTTCTGCCAGATGTATTACTTCCATGCAATCTTTTTGGTTTGGAACTGAAGGAAAATTGGATGTGCTCACATTAGTCCATATCCTCTGCCAGATTTACCTCTTTCATGCAACCTTTTGGTTTGGAATTGAAGGTAAATTGGATGTGCTCGCGAAACGACAGTTGAATCAAATAGATGTCAAATATATACATGTGGAAAGGACTGGTTGAATGTAAAGGTACTGTACACTCTCACAAAAATTAAATGCATAGGTGTATTTTCACGAATTTATTCTGCTACCTTCAAAGTGAAATAACTCATGCAATTCTGGATCACGATGGACCTACTTTGACAGTATAAAAGATCGGATGTCAGTTGACATGTACAGGTCGTAAAAAGTTCATAAAGTGAGCGTTGTCTTCAATATCTGTCTTGGTCGCCATAAGCCCCCCAAAAAACTCTGCAATGTCTCATCATGAACTGAACAGACTTTCAGTTCGACCTTGAGGAATTCTGGCCTGTTCATCTTGCAATGCCTACGACAGTACATATAGTGAATCTAGCGCTTGTGTTCACGTACGCGCCAAGGATTGGTTTGTTGATATCTGTCCAATACACGACAGATGGTACCATGGTGAGCACTGAGGTGACGTGCAACAGCAGATTGAGACTTCCAAGCCTCCAGAGGTCCAGTGGGAATGATTCGATTTACAACAGAGTCGCGACATTACCATATTCTTTCATTCGGTTAAGACGACAGCAAACGTGCATTATAATTTAATTTCCGAAGATGCGATTTACACTTTCTTTTCGTTCCATGTACACAAATGAGTATAAAAACAATCTAAAACTAATTTTGAAATATATTTGACATCAATACCACCTATGCATGTCTTTCTTGGAGAGTATATAACAGACGGTAATTATCTAGATCTCCATGTCATGAAACAGTTGCGGTAAGTTATTATCTGCATAGCATGTGACTAAAGTGATTAATTCTAACCACCAAAACATTTGGATATGTTAGATATGAGATAGTGGTTGCAATGAAATATCATTTTTTTGCTGTTTTGGGCTATATTTCATTCATTCTACAATAAAGAGTTGACTATCAACAATGGTGATAGATACTTGTGAAAATACCGTCACAAACGTACATATACGTGAAATGGATGCGTTCCTAATGTGTAATTTGACACTGTGTTTCAATAATCGTACTCAATCAGCAGTAATTCTTAACCGCTATTGATGTAGATTGTCTGTTGGGCCTCTCTCGTGTAAGTAGTTTGATTGAAGTAAGCATCGCAGTCCGGATGTATGCACATCATACGATCTTCGGACTTTTAGGTAATCAGGTAATGACGTGTATCCTGTTACCCATTTCAGCTCATTATACGTACACGAGGTATTGATGTTCCCGACGTGGAGGATTCTTCAAACAACGGCCTTCGAGGCGCGTTACACACACAGCAGAGCAGGTTAATGCAAATCTTGAAAACGTATTTTGGACAACTTCCACCAAAGATAAACATCGTTAAACGGGCGATACTAACATCAGCTGATTGCCTTAACACCAGCGGACATCTCGATCTATACCAACACATTTTGGGTACAATGTGCGGAAGCCCATTCCCCACCGTGATGTTGCTGGAATATTGCTAGAAGCGGCGTTAAGGCAAACTTTCAAACCACTTCTACAGCCTTAAGTCTGATAATCAGTAATCCCACAGGCAAAGTAAAACGCCCTGACATTCTCTCAATACGAATCCCAAAGTTAATGACTTTCAGGCCATTAAAATTTGTTAGTCACCTTTTGAAATGCAAGAAAAACGTTTCACCATCACGTTCAGAAAAGGCGGAATGAGTCTTAATCTTGCCTTGAATCACCAAACGATCCATCACCTGTTGAGGAACCTAGAGCGGTATGATTTGGTAAATCAGTTTGCCACAACTTATTTCTTTATCAGCTAATTCTCATTCTTTCATCCAAACCTCTCTTCTTCTTCTCAAGTTCTGTTCTCTTTAGGTCGAAGTTCTCTCCCTTCTAATGTCTATAAAGCCAAAATGTCAGCATTTTTCTCCAAACAAGGCCAATCAAAATCATCCATTATTTTGTCATCAACCGGGAATGTGATCAAAATTTTCTTGGCAAGATTTGATGCCAGGTTTGTAATAATTGGCCAAATGTACCAGTTCAGACTTTTTGAGCAAAGAGACTTGTTCTGTAGAAGGTTGGCTAACACATTCCTCTAAACTAAACACCATTGAGATTGTTGGTTTTTATGCAGTCTAAACAATGACATATTATTCCGGACATTTTGACAAATAATCTTGTGATTTATTAAATTTTAGTTTCTGCTAATTGTTGCTTCCCAAGTTCACAGGTCAATACAAAGTATCACCATGAAAGTACAAAGCAGCAGCACTACAAAATTCCCTAGTAATAATACAAGAGCAGTAATTTTAGCATTTTGGACACTGATTGTAATATTCATCTCTCAGCAACCCTCTTCCAACTTGCGACTGTTTGATTTTTCCATCACAAGGGATAAATAATTTTGGTTCAAAATAATTAAGGATCTTTTTTATAATGTAAATTATCATTTAATTATTTTATTTTTTTAAAGAAATAGAATTATTGGATAAATTTGGAACAATATGTTTTGTAAATCGATAAATGTTATTTTATAAATGGTAGTATAAATTAGCAACTGTTACTGGCTGTATCCTCGAAGGGGGTTCAAGTATCGTAAATTATCGTTCTCCTGAGAGGATACGTCAGTCCCCAAAACTTTCAAAGTCAATTTCGCTCAACCATACTTTTTAGTCGTAGTATTTTTGCTATTTTAAATTTCGGCTAAATATTTCTACCATCGCCAGCGGCTGAAGGGATGGTGTAAATCCAGCTAGGGTCTATGCAGGTAGCAAAAGTAATGTAAGTCCCCATGGTACCTAGTATGGTGATCTACCTTCAGTTTTTGGCGATCTATAGCCCGTGTTTTATATTGTATTGTCTTCTTTAATTAAAATATTTTAGTTTTACATGCTAGTTTTATATTCACATCTGTGATATTCTAGTATTTTCACTGTCCATCGTCGACAGGTTTTACTCTTAAAAATGTTTTCATTTGTATTGTGTAAATTGTTTTCGTCACGATATAGCTGCGATATTGCCGATGTGACGCTAAATATTAACTCACTCACTCACTCACTCTTCCAACTTGCATGAGACCCTGGAACTGAGTTCAGATGGCCTGAAACTGAGTTCCCAGCGTATAGAGTGATCACACAAAATGCTGGTCTTCTGGTAGCCCGAGACGTAATGTGAGATGAAAGACAGGAGCCAGCTCACTTCATGTACACATTTCTAGAGTACGCTGTGATCCAATAAACCCCGGGACCGGCACCCTGCAGTACTTGCCAGATTTGTTTCTGGTCTAAATTAGTTAAAGTCTGAATATAGCACACCAATATATCTACACGTACAATAACATACATATATATTTGGAACATTGTTACACAATGAACACTAATGCCATATAACACTATCCGTAAGACCACGCAGTAAAAACTACTTTCAAGCTCTATACATTGATTCCAGTGCTTTATTGCTGCAATATGTTGACTGATATTCCCATACCCTTTACAGTCACATTGACATCATATGATAAAATATCAGCCATTGCAAATATCTTCTGTCATATAATATACGGTGTTTAGGATACGGAAACACCCTAGCGTGATAATCTCCATTTAATTTATAAGCCTAATGGAAGTTAAATATTAAGAACCACTAGGTATGGAAAAAACACAGATCTCATCTTTCAACAAGCAGGTTCGATCTCACGATTCCAGCTGCAAGACCCAGCATACATGTTTGTCGACGACATGTGAATTACGTCCCTTACCTGTCATGGCGGTAAAAGTGGCGATTGATTTAGTTTGCCAATGTATTTGTGTTGCTTACTCATACAATCAGGCGTTTACCTTATATTAAGTGCGTTTGATTAAAGCCAAGTGTATCAAATCTTGAACTGAGTTTAATGAAATTAAATGACAGTGTCACTAGCCTTTTAAAATCGCCCTGAGTCGAAGCGGGATTGCTGACACACACTTTTTGAAAAATGTCAAAACAGGTTACGCTCTCAAAGTTCTTTGCAACCAAGAATCCGAAATCGTCGGGAAACAGTTTTTCAACTGACGAAGATACCCAGTCTAAACGAAATGGAAAGGTAGGTGCATGAAAGTCTCCCCACTTTCTAATAAGTATCATATGATAGTATAACGCACACTGTTTTGTATTCACACGTGGTAACCGTAAACACTAACAAATGCATAAGCTGCCAGGATATACACAAATGGATACGAGTCATAACGGACCAGATTTCATAACGGAATATCTGCTGGTCGAAACGAACCAGTCGAATATCTGTATTCATAGTAATAAAAACAAGTTTCTCAGTTTACACACTCAGTTTAATTGCCTCACTTGTCTACTTACATGACATATCCCGGGTACTGTCACATATGACTAAATAGATAAATGTACGTGAATGTACTTTCACACAAATGTAGACACACATTAATAAAATCCATACATTGACACACTTTTGCAATTAATTTTATTTTTCGCCCCTTATAAAATTATTATTGTATACACACATACTATGGTTGTGTTATGTTTAATACCAATAATCATTGTCTGTGTCCATTGTCATGGTCATTGTCCATCAAATAATATGATCAGGTACCAGTCAAATTGTGCCAGCTACCAGCAAATTTGGTCAAATTGGCCTGGATTTGGTGTCAAATTGCTTTTACTTCATGTTCTGTTTTATGTCAGGAATATTTAAGAAGATTCTGACATCATATTTCTGATACACCCACGAAACCTAGTTTTGTTTAACTCATTAAGCCCGAGAGCCCCATCACTACTCAACACCTGAAAGCCCTCGCTGATTGCCCACTCTCTGTGTTGAGACTAATTAGTGCTAGTCACACCTGGATTTCCCCTGGCAGGTTTCGGGATCACAGGAAACTGTCTAGTCGCATAAACAAGTCCTGATTGTTTAATTGTGTCAGAAAGATATATGTTGAAAGAAATCAGGTGTGAATACATGTCGTGGTATTACAAGCTTTATGTAATTTTATTGCAAGTTTCTCTTTGTAGACCTTTTGTCGGGTTTGTACATTTATATTTTATCACAATATGCATACACATGTATTCTTTGTATGTAACAGATGAGACACACGCTAACAAATTCTCTCTCTTATATCATTATGTGAGGTTTAAATTTACAAAACATCTATGACAATGAGATACTGTAAAGAAGAATTTACTTTCATACTTTATAATCTTCGAATTTAAAATAGCGGTTTTGCCGATACATTTCTAGTGTTTACGAATTATTTTTAATGAAAGTACTATAACGCTTAGTCTGTGACTAGCACAAAGCACATTCATAGCATTGCACTTTATTTCATACAGATTTAATGCAGAAAACATAATGTGACCATACAAACATACATATACAAAATGTATACTACATATTCCTTTTGCATAGACATAAAACAAAGAGTCACGGATAGGGCGCCATCAAATTTCCGAATAGAACGCTCGAATTATCTCAACTGTTCAGTATAGTGGCTGGTCATATGTTATCTGCGACCAATCAGAGTCATGAGATACCTGTCATACAGAGGAAAGGACAGGTGACAGGGGCGGGCTTAAATTTCTGAAGAGCACGCTTGGTCACCAGCAGCTTGGAGAGAGAGATTGGTTATTGGCTATATCCTTGACCAGTCGATATGCTGGGTTTCGCTTTATCAACTCAAGCTATCATGTAACAGCTTTTGTGTATTGTAGCAAACATACACACTGGTAACGATGTGTGAAATACACACATAAGACAAATAGGAGTAGATAGTCACTTTGGCGAAGTTTATTTGTCCTCATTTTAGTGTTTTTCGATAAGTAAACAAAGCCGATTGAAATCCAACCACTGAGTAGAGGTAGTATCTATATTCATATACATTTTATGCACAACTAGTACATAAAACATAATGGTTTGCTGTACATGTAACATAATCTTCACCTTGATACTCTAATGACTATCCAAACTGGAGAGTACACGATTACAGAATTCCACGAGGTGACACTATACTGAATTATTATAGTGTATAACCAGAAGTTGACACCCCCACCCCCAATATTTATGAAGGTGGGCGTGCTCTATATCTTTACTGAATGCAAACGATGTTCATAAGATTACAGATGTGCATGCATGTATAAACATCACAGAGAGGGCGTGACTCCATAAAAACAAGATGTCCAATGATATAACAGCATCTGTTTATTTTACACTTGTCACGGGACAAACCTTTCAACAAGGACGAACTACATATGCATTCTACCGGAGGCTGTTATTTCAAGATTCGAAAGAGGCTTTCAATTATCTCATTACTGTAATCTGCTTGAATGATTATACGATGTGTATCGATACCAAGTAACCGATATACTATCCAGCTTTTATTGACGCCCATGGATCAATAGAGACTGAGTTGATTGATACACGTGATAATTCGTAACCAGATTTGATAATTACACAGATCAAATACAAACGTTTTACAGAATGCTCATGTAAATTGCATAGAAAACTGACAATTCAAATCAACATGAAACTTTCAACAGCTTGAACAAAATGCTTGAAATACCTTTGTATGGCTTACATGTAATAACTTATGATCTTACTTCTGTCCATGTGTGACAATGTTTTGAATTACCAACTTACTGTCTTTTGTAACAACGAGTAAAACATTTCATTGTTGTAATAACACTGACATGTATATATGTATTCAATGCAAAGGTGCGACTTATCACTTTATATTCGCTTAGGTAACATTACTTAACTTTAGATTATGGAAAACAACTAGTTACAATTCAGTAAACTTCAAATTAGTAAGTTCAATTATGTTTAATCTATTCGAAGCTTTGATGTATAATTACTTGTGTTTATACATTATGTTTCAGTATATGAAACATGACAAAGTAATGATGCTTTAAAAGTAAATTCAAACTATTCTATTGTGTTTGAATTCTCTGTATGTCCTTGAAATTTCGTATATTGTTTCCTATTTATTAGGTAGTTGAAGGAAATATAATTTTTAGTAACCTCTAAACCATTACATTTAATTCAATCAAGGTGCTTAAGTATTTTAGTATCCATTCCCAAGGAAGAGTACCAGGCACTTACCTCTGTAAAAACATCATAATCCCTTTCGCCAACATGCTCATTTGCTAAACGCTGTACAAGCCTATGACAATGATTAGCAATTGTAATCAAACACTTTAAATACTTCTTCTGATTGATACTAAAGGTGGGATCTCTCGTAAGAAAAGCTAACATTTCCTCAGTACTGCTAAATTGGTTGGAAATAATAGGTACAGTGCGATTTTTAAAAGTACAACACACATGTGCGCTCTCGCTGAATAAGATGTGCTTTCTGTTGACGACTGTATGGGCTCTCGCTTTGTGAGAAACTTCTAATTACCTGCCCCATAAACATCGCCACCGCTGTGAGGAGCTGCTTAATTTGCCCCATATATGCTCTCGGCCTTAATGAGTTAAAATACCTGCCTGCCCAAAAGCCCGGACGGTTATTTTCAGCACGACTGCCAGATTCTCATATTCACCCGCCCGATGGTCTGGTTAAACTTTTAGACATGTATATGAAGATATTCATCCTATTTCAGGATATTAAATCATTATTAATTCACTCCGTAAAAATAAATGATGAATTTCAATTGGATGATAAACTACGCCGCTTGGCAACCCTAAATTTGGTCAGGGCTGGCAAGTTTACATCTAACCAGCCCTGTGGTCTGGCTGACATTTTGGGGAGTTTCATACCCTGATCGTAAGTCTTAGTTTCTGTCCTGTTCATGCAGACATTGAAGATTTATCACTGTGGGGACAACTGTGACTAAGTATTTACTTTATAATTGCCAACATAGGTTTAGTCTGTTTGTGTTTTACAGGATCTGTTCATTTGAAAGAATTGGAATCTAGGTGCAGATATTGAAATATGTTTTCAGTATTTTATCCTTGCTGTCTCAGATTGTGATATGTCTGTTTGAACATTTCAGCCTAGAGTTGCCCCCTCCTTGGGACGATGCTGTCTCAGATTGTGGCGACACTGCTGCCGCTCCTGCACCAACCTTCCAAAACAAGTGGCAGATATATTCACATACATGATTGTGGAAAACAGGCATGTTCTGTTTTCAATAAATCTTTATAATGGTGACAGCATGTTTTTCTCTGCTTTGCAAAAGTATGACAGGGAAAATATGTGTTAGCTTTGAAAAGAAAAAATGTTCTAAATGCATGTCTGTTGCTATATTCTCAGAACAAGCTGTTCAAACGTTTAGGTATTGAGATGGTTTCAATAACAGTTAGTAGGCAATTATGAAACCCTTCTCCACTTCTGATATCTGCATTAAACCAAGGAAAACAAGAATTGTCATATAAAGTGTTGGTCTTGAGGATTAAGGGTTCTCACAAAGAAATGCTTACAATTTGTCTAGAAGTTGGTCAGGTAGCACATATTAGTGAGTGAGTTAAGCTTTACACCGCCCTCAGCAATATTCCAGCTATATGGCAGCGGTCTGTAAATAATCGAGTGTGGATCAGACAATCCAGTGATCGACAGCATGAGCATCGATCTTAAAAATTGGGAACAGATGACGTGTCAACCATGTCAGTGAGCCTAACCACCCGATCCCTTTCGTCGCCTTTTACGACAAGCATGGGTTACTGAAGACCAATTCTAGCCTGGATCTATATTAAATTCTCTAAAATCAAGTCACTTAATATGGCAAGTATGAGGTATGAGAATGAACAGTAAACTATTGTGATGCAACAGTGTGTGACCATGTTGTTCTTGCTGCAGGTCCGCCCTCCACCACCACTTCCACGAGGTGTACTTCCTGCCAGACATTCCCGAGTTGAGTGATGCTAATGCAGTGCTGAAACAGTATGCTGATGGACCCTCGAGGTGAGCTGTTGAAGTGGGCATTATTTTAATATAAGTAATATCAATCCATAGAATTGATAAAGAAATATGATAGATTATACAATAGCTATTTGAAATATCTGTTTGATGTATCAGATAACATGAATGGCAAATCATACTCATCGGAGCAAGTTTGAAGTTTTGAAATCTTTTGACCGCTCTCTTTTCCAAATTCCTAAAATGATTGATAGATTATTCATATGAATGATATGAAATTTAAGAGATGTTTCATTGTCTTCTCTTTCTGGGAAAAATAACACTACATCTATCTGCATGTCTCATATCACAGCCAACTAATGACCTAGATTTTGTCATGTCACAGCCAACTAATGACCTGGGCCCTTATTCGCGAAACGTTCGTAGCACTAAGAATTCTTAACTTTGATCGAAGCCAATGTGTTAAGAATGGGCTCAATAAGTTCGTAGGGCTATGAATGTTTCGAGAATAGCTAGCCTGGTTATTGTCACATTGTAGTCAATCCGACCTGGGAACACAGCTGGCCCACTCAGTACAGGGCATCAAACATGAGAATATAGATGTGAGGAGACAAGCCCTTTCAAAACTTAGAAAAAACTCCTGCGAGAAGACAAGGTAAGTCAGTGATTAGTTTATATGATTGGTCAAAAAGTTGAGCTCAAACTTTTGGTTTATTATGCATTAGTGAACATGGTGACCACAAAAAAACAGATCAGTAAGAATTACCATGATGTATGCAATCGGCATCTTTTACAGTGTGTTGGATTTCATATTCTTTTGAGGATAAAATGTTTGTCATTACAACTGTTTATAATATGTTTAGTAAAAAAATAATGAGGTATTAGAAAATGTCATGTGAGAAGTGTATCAAATTGTCTGACCTCAGTGTGCCTGCACTCAGGAGTAATGATAAGGAGTGAGTTTGATTATAAGTACAAACATGTTAACAGCTTGGGGATTAATGCTCCCTGAAATGCCTGGTATGATTTGGGAAATGATTGGTGGAAAGTGTTTACTCAAAGTATATATATAGTAAAGCTATGTTCGCTCAGCCCTTGTTCCTTGTAATCAAATGATGTTGTGAAATGCTTGTATATCCAGAGGGTACAGATAAGCTGCATATCTGCTTAAATTATGCAAATATTTATGTGAAAACTCAATTCCCATTAAGTCTATTGTGTACAAGTATGCTTGAATTTTTGTAAATACTCAATAAATGTGATCTTACATGCGTGCACACAATAATGTCAAATCTTAGCTTGCGTACCAGTGGATAGATAAATAAATGAGGTATATTGAGAGGTTCTATTTCAGGACATGAACTTGGCAACTTGCAGTCTTTCTTATCGTTTTTCATATTTCAGATCAAATATAAATATCAAACACTAACATATAAACTTTATTATATTTTTGCAATTAATGGAAAATGACAAAATACCCAATTGAATTTGAGTGAAGTGAGTGCAATTTATTTGGTAACTCAAAGAAAATTAGGATACCCAGTTGAGATGAACACAAGCGAGTACATAAACGGGTGACCCAAAACGTTATCTGTAGCTTTGTATGTCTGTTATTGTGATAAATAAAACATTAACTGTATGAATTGGTTGTTATTAAATGGTGTTAAATATAAGTAATATCTAAAACATGAAGCGAACTCGAAAACTGCTGGCAATCTGTTGTTTCCCAGTTAGTACCCTGAACATTAGTGCAGGCACAGTGAAGTGCCTGCAGCACGGTCAAACACCATCATGATTGTATCAGTTGTATGAACTCATGTCTTTGGGGGCGGTGGGGTAGCCTAGTGGTTAAAGCGTTAGCTCGTCACACCGAAGACCCGGGTTACATTCCCCACATGGGTGCAATGTGTGAAACCCATTTCTGGTGTCCCCCGCCGTGTTGCTGGAATATTGCTAAAAGTGGCGTAAAACTAAACTCAGTCAGTCAGTCATGTCTTCGGCGTGTTAGTATGGCATTATGAGTGACCTGTGAATGTTCATTCAGATACACTGAATGATTACATTATGGGGAGTGAAGTAGCGGACCCTATCATATCTCAGCTGGTGACTGTTGTGAGTGGACTTTTCACCTCTCTTTCTGGCTAAAAATCTATCAAGACACATCAAACATTATTCTCAAATGCAAACAAATTAATCTGGAATGTTTTGTTTTTTTATTTGGCGAAGGCTTTGATTTTGCAAATGATCCATTGCTTTTGATGTGAAATAAAATTCCTGACTTTTGAGTTTGATGCTTTGAAGTAGTTGGTAGTATCCCTGGAGCGGTATTCATATAAGCTTATGCTTGTTGACCATACAGGTTCCTTTCATTTAAAAATAAGTATGTTTAAATCATTTCCCCACGGTCATGGTGATGTTGCCTGTGTCCTGCAGTTGATGGCTGGGTGTCGCGAGTCTGACAGTGAGGCAGAATTGCTGTACGCTGAATGTCTTGGTGAACTTGGGGCTATTGACCCTGGCAGGTAATCAAGTCCTTCTTTCAGATTTTACATTAGGAGACTCTTTGTGCAGGACTGTCTTTTCATTTTTAACTCAACATTACATCCAGGTGAGTCATGTGTCATCATCCATTCATTGGTTCACTCATCTGTCCATCCACTCCTTAGTGCCGAACTTAAACATCTTTTCAGAACAACTGAATATATATACAATGGAATTCGAAGGATTGATAGGAGGGTTGTGTTTGTGGGGAAAGGGGGTTTTCAACATTTAAAATGACTATTTCTGCAGTAATGCAGTGTTTTGGAAAAAACACAACCTTAGAGATCAGTTTGTCAGTGTAGCGGCCATAAGATTTCCGAGTCCCATGCTGGGATTCGAACCACGGACCTTCTGATCCGAAGTCGGACGCCTAGTCAACATGACCAAAGAGGTTAACCCCGTCAGCAAGCTGACAAGGTAAGGATGTCATCTGTGGGATGACTCCACGCCCTGCTACATACTCCCCCGTCAACAGAAGGCACGTCCTGAGCCGCATAGTTGGGTACTGAGACTTATTTGCTCAAATTGGATATGAACGTGCTCAGCCCCACGTTCGGCGCCAATGAAGCGGCCATAAAATTTCCGAGTCCCGTGCTGGGATTCGAACCACGGACCTTCTAATCCGAAGTCAGATGCCTTGTCCACATGACCAAAGAGGTTAACCCCGTCAGCAAGCTGACAAGGTAAGGATGTCATCTGTGGGATGACTCCACGCCCTGCTACATCAGCATAATCATTGGATATGTTGTTTTCAAAATGTTGGAGAATGTTAAATTCTTTGATCCTGTTGAAATCATTTGAATATCCAAATTAGTTTTCCATATGCTTTTGCTTCAGTAGTGATGACACCAAAACAATCATTCTGGTAGATGATTTTGCTTACTTTGAAGATCACTTGTTATGGCATTCCTTTAAAACAGGTTAATACACCAATAACATGAGTTATATTAAGAAGGGATACTCTTACATGATCTTTTAGACAGGTGTCTGGTTGTACAAACTCAGGTTGAATTAGAGAAAGGACACCATAATGCCAAACAGTCATTATGGTTTTGTCAATAAGAAACTTTTCTATTGACAAAACCATAATGATCGTTTTTTATCAAACCTTTATTCAAAGTTTGGTGACCTACAATTTTGTATGTTGGTATGGGGGTCTGTCTGATCGCAACAAAAACAAACTTTTCAAAATTGTTAATACTGCCAGCAAAATTCCTGGAGTGTCTTTCGAGTATACAGTATTCCCTTTATGTATTATGAGCGCCAGATTGTCAATTAGGCAACTAATATTCTCAACTACTTCCATCTGGACACCGCTTTCGATTTCCTTTGCTTAAAACAAACAGAGCTCGACACACCCTTCATTCCATCCAGTATTCGTGTTATTAATGCAACAAATGTTATTGAATAGCTATCATTCATACGATAACTACTAACTGAGCCTCCTTGCCCATGTGGATAATTGTATCGAATCATCAGCATTAATTTATGCATGTAATTATTGTGTATATTTTTGTGAATTTTGTATATATTCATTTTAGATCTATCTATCTAACCTGCTTAGATCATATTAGATTTGGAAAATGAGCTTCAATGCTCAAATATTTTTCAAGTAATTAAAAAAAATTCACACTAATTATTTTGTGTAGGCTATCGACATAACCTGACAAGCACTTCTGTAAAAGAAGTAGAATCATATCAGAAAGTTTTTAGGGGCGGTGGGGTGGCCTAGTGGTTAAAGCGTTGGCTCGTCACGCCGAAAACCCCGGTTCGAATCCCCACATGGGCACAATGTGTGAAGCCCATTTCTGGTGTCCCCCCCGCCGTGATGTTGCTGGAATATTTCTAAAAGCGGCTTAAAACCAAACTCAGTCAGTCAGTCAGAAAGTTTTTCAGTTTAACAATACTGACCTTTTATTGTGGTGCAGACTTGAGCTGATGGGAAACAACCCAAAGGAGGAAATGACAAAATTCAAGGCTACAGTGGAAGACGACAACTTTGCTGTTGGTCTCATCAATGAGGTCCTCAAAGCCTTCCTGTCAGCCACAGAACCAAGAGTCCAGGTAGGTACACTTGCAACTAAGGCCTGTTACCCCAGAGGTTCGGCTTCTGATACCAAATATGCTATATGAATCTGCATCTTATAGTGCCAATAAACACTGACATGCACGCACACACGCTGCTCCATGTTTCAGGACTGCTCGGCCTTCGCTCTACAAGACCTGCTGCAAATCTATGAAATATCTGAAGGGAAGGAGAGCGACAAGACCCCAAACAAGCTCTGGGAGGAGATTCCCAGAACACATGCAGGAGATTCTCATACCCCTGCTTACTTCCAAGTCAGTGCAAAGTTAAAATGATTTCAAGTGGTGTTTAGACAAATATGCTCAGAATTGTTTGATCTATACTCAATTATTCCAACACTGCCATATTTTTATTTATTGTACAAGAAATGAATGCTTAGATTGTAGAGCCATGGAAACGATTATAAAGAAGCAATATATCCACAGATACAAACTGGCATCAGAAGCTGTGTGGGACAAGTGCCCCAAGCCAATCTACCAGAGTACCAAGGGAGGTAACTTCAAGGACTGGGTCAGCAACTGGACAGGCTATCTCATATATCTCACATCCAGGGTGAGGGCCTTACTCTTACTTTGCCTGTCCCCTGTCAGTCACGGAGGTTTTCCTTTGAAGAGTTTTGGGGTCTCCTTATTGGAACTTGCATACTCTTGATGCCTTTTTGTTGATATTGCTCCTGGTCATTGAGTTACTCTTGATGTGATAAGGGCGAGGCTTTGCTTACAGATTGCTGTGATGCTTTGAGATACACTGATTTAAGGGGAAAATGTGTCATCATACCATGTGGGGAGCCCATGCTTTTACTGGTTGTCTTGAATATAGCTGACCTTTGCTCACCTTTTGTTGACAAGGCCAAATGCACTCTGCTACCCAGAGTTCCATGCGGCAAGCCAGCATAGTATCTCTGCCACACGCCAGAAAAATGTGACGATTTGTCACATCTTGCAATGTCCATTCAATATAATGTACAGTTTTCTTTCACTCTTTTATTTTTGACGAGTCTACACATCTAACTAAACATCTTTAGTAGAATGGTTTAGTTTCACTGAGAAAATATCCCCAAACATGTAACACTATTTTGATTTTAGTAGCGATCGTGTTTCTTCATAGAGATCGTCCCCCTTGGGGTACATATTATGCATTTTCCAAGCTGAAAATGTCCTGTGACAGTTGTATCAATGTTTTTTGAATAAAAAGATTGTACAATAAATAAACTCTTTTATTTATTATACGGCCCCCACCTCACGGAGTTACCTCCCGTTGCGCATGCGCACCAACTGGGTAAGCACCTAGGCCCGTATCATCATTCCTTCTGCTGTCACTGCCTCTAACAGACGTATGTGTCGAGCAGAGCTGACCTTTTCTGAGAGAAAGAGTATAATGTCTGAGACACCACCTGTATGTATGGTCTTTATTTTGTCCTTGTTAAGGAACAGTAAAGCTTTGCGGTCGGTTGTTTCATAATTGTGACTTTGTATTAATTATTTTACGCTTAACTTTCCCGTGGTTTACGCATTACATGTTGCTCTGCCATGGCGGGAAGTTTAGCGTGCCACATGGTTGTAATATTGCGTATTGAACCAACTATTTCTTTCCCGTGGTAGCCTTCACGCATTTTTCAATGTTTTCTACGTATATCTTGCTGCTGGTCCGCCGTTAGCTACATGCTTGGCGTGTTTGCTTTCAGCATGCTTTCCTCCTGTTCGGGTCTGTGGACAAAGTATTCCATCGGGTCGACAGGCACGACAAGTGTATCGTGTGCTTGGAAAAGACCGGCCATGAGGCCGAAACTTGTGAAATTTGTCTGGGGTTTTCCCCCCGGGCCCAGAAGCGGAGGGCTGCCGATACTCTCTTTTACAGAGAGATGCGGGAGGCGGGAGGGGAACTTACCCAGGTCCCCCCGTCTAAGGCTAAAAAGCCGCGCTCTAAGGGAAAAAAATCCCGTAGCCAGTCCCCTTCTCCCGCTCCTGGTAGCGGTTTTGATATGACTATAATCACACAGATGTTTCAGCAGCACGCAGACTCGATGAGGTCCCTCGTTCATGAGACGGTTGGAGGACTCCGGCAGGAGTTCCTCGCCCACTCTGAGCGTGGGGCGGAGAGTCTGGGGGGGGGATCGCCGAGCCCGGCTCGATCCCTAGGCCTTGAGGCGTCTGTCGACCCGTTGCCTCTGGCTTCGGGTCCGGACGCCTCGGCTGCCCCGGAGGGGGAGGTGCTCCCAGTCCCCCTCTCGGAGTTGGCGCAGGGACCGTTGATGATTCCTGGGGTTCCGATCCCTGCGCCCTCCCGCCCCATGAGAGCGGAGGCACCAGTTCTGCCTGGTATGCCTCCAGCGTCTCGGGACCGGGGTCCGTGCATGCCTGCAGGCACTGACGCGGGGCGCTCTGTCTGCTCCTCCCTCTCTGTTGTTCCTAGTGCTAGGCAGCCCACCGGGTCGGGGTTCGGGTCCTCTTCGCGAGGAGACCCAGCCTCAGACTCGGGCTCGGGCGCCGAGTCGATGGATACTGGGGAGGTCGAGGAGCAGGAGGGTGCCTTCCGTTTCTCTTCGGCTCTGCGGGAGGTCCGGCAAAGGATTGCCGAGTACCTACCCCAGGCCAAGCTGTGCCTGTTAGCAGCTCGACTCGGGCTGAGTTCCGCTTGCCAGGCGCAGGCGCTTGCCCCTAGGCAGCCTCACGCAGACGCAGCTCCGCATTCTTCCATCGTTAGTCCAGGACGTGGTCGATCCCCTCTTGTCTGGTTCTCGCCTCCGTTTTGACTTGCCGGAGCTTGTCCGGAGATACCAGCTTGGGGAGGATTCCCTGTTCGTGGTACCTATCGCGGGATGAGTGTGTATTCACTTCAGTCGCCTTTGGGGAGGCTCGGCTTCCTCCGAGCAGCCCGCTGCTCGGCAAGGGCGTGTGACTCCACCGCTTGCCCTCGCTGGCGCTCCCCGCATGCATGCACCGCACCTACGCAGGAGGTTTACAGGAACGCTTATGCAGCAGGTCAGGGTGGTGGTCCATGAGGCCTACCTCTCCTCGATTCAGAGGTCGGCCCTGGAGGCGGAGGGGCATGCTGGTGATGTTTCACCGCATGTCGCGGCTCCTCCGCAGTTGTCTGAAGTGCAGGCCCACCTCGCGCTGACTCTTTGGCGGTCCGCTAAGGCCGACGGTGATGTGCGCAGTCATGGGGATGCGCAAGCTGTGGCTGTCGACGCCTCGCTACTCGGCAGCCACACAGCAGACCTTGCTGGCCCTCCCTTCCGCCTGGGAGCCACCTCTTCCAGGGGCACAGCAGGTCATACGGGAGGCTGCCGCTGCAGCTACCTCCTTCAAGGACTCTAAGGCCTTGTTGAGCACCCGCTGGTGTCTCGCCTCAGGCCTCCGCTCCACCTTCCTCCGCAGAGGGGTGCAGCCTACACCCGAAGTCCGCTGGCTGGCTTCGCCGCTTGGCAGGGGTAAGCGGAGGCACAGGTCCGCCAAGGGTAAGGGCAAGGAGCAGTCCTCGACTAGCTCCCAGCCTTTTCAAGGGCGCTGGAGGTCTGCCCCGACCTCCCGCTAACCCATCAGGGTTGTCGATCAAGCCGCGGTGTCACGCCCAGTCAGCTCCGCTACTCGGGACGACGACGCCGCCTCTTACCCGACGCCCCAGTGGGAGGTCGCTTCTCTATTCCTACCGGAATGGGAGAAGGCTACACAAAACACTTGGGTGCTGTCCACCATCAGTGTAGGCCATTTACCACTGTGGAAGCTAGGTCCGCCCGACTTCACCCGCATACGCCGCGACCCGTGCCGCCATGTCAGGCAAGGGCGGACATATTGCGCGACGACGGTTCAGGCTCTGCTGGACAAGTCCGCAATCGAAAGCGATTCCACCGGGAGAGGAACAGGCGGATTTTACTCCACGCACTTCCTCGTCTCCCAAGAAAGACGGCGGGTTCCGGCCCCATTCTCAACCTCAAGGGGTTGAACCGCGATGCTAGAAGTACCATCCTTCAAGATGGAGACACTGCGCCGGTGATCTCATCTGTTCAGCCCGGGCGATTGGCTCACGCCAATCGACCTCAAGGATGTGATTCTGCATGTGCCCATACATCCATCGCTCAAGCAGTACCTTCGGTTCTCTTACGACGGGATGTGTTACCAATTCACGGTGCTCCCCTTCGCATATCGACCGCCCCAAGGGTGTTCACCAAGCTCATGTTAGTCCCGCTACCCTCGCCGCCGCAAGGAAGGCGTTGTTACCCTTACTCTCGACGACTGGTTGCTCGGAGCACTAACACAGCCAGCGAGCCTAGATGCTACTCACACAGTGATAGACATTCTAGTTCGACTGGGGTGGATCATCAACCTCAAGAAACCGACCTGGTACCCACCCAGGACTTGGTTTTTCTCGGGCGCAGGTTCCAAACGCACAAGGATCTAGTTTCCTTTGTCGCCCTAATCGATCACCAGAGTACGGGAGATGGTGTCTTCGCTCTCTCCCAGCCCCAGGCACCAGCACGGACTTGGCTCCGCCTACTGGGCCATATGGCGGCTTAATTTATCTCTGTAGTGTGGCGGGCGCTGTTGAGGATGCTCTATACAGCAAGCTTTGGCGAAGTCTGTGGGCTCACTCGGAGGACCTGGAGCGCAGTCTCACAGTCCCCGGTGGTTGACACCTCACCTTCAGTGGTGGACCAATGTCGGAATCTCACCAGGGGGTCCCCTTGAAATCCCGACGCCAGCTCTCACAGTTCAGACCGGCGCGCCCCTCACGGGCTGGGGTGTTCTGGGCAGTCTGTCGGTGTCCGGACTCTGGTCCGAAGTCAAGCCCACCTTCACATCAACGTGTTGGAACTGAGAGCTGTGCGTTGGTTTTCGAGCGCTTCAGAGAGCATGTCCAGGGCCAGGTAGTCCGCCTTCAGTTGGACAACCCAGACGCCATGTCGCACATCCTGAAGCAAGGCGGCACGGTGTCCCCAGCGCCTCCGGGAGGCGGGACTTTCTCCTCTGGTGCACCAGTGCGCATTGTCAGGTACTCCCTGTTTATCTCCCGGGCTGGAGAACGCGGCGAGCAGACGCCAGCCTCTCGCCGGATCCTGGCCCCGCGACGAGTGGATGCTCGACAGGCAGATTTTCAGAGTTATCTCCCAGTTGTACCGGTCGCTCCAGGTGGATCTGTTTGCATCCGGGCGGGATCTAATCAGACACCCGTGTTCTGCTCTCGGAATACCGACCCAGGGCGCTGGCTGCCGACGCCTTCCTGCTGGATTGGACGGGCAAAGTGCTCTGGGCGCTCCCGCCGCTACCACTCATTCCCCGTGTCCTTTCACAGCTGTCCACCCAGCCAGCTCGGCTGCTTGTGCTACTGGCACCGCTTTGGCCGTCACAGAGCTGGTTTCCGTAATTCTCAGGTTTCTGGCTCAGCCTCCTGTTCTATTACCTTTACTTAATCGACATTCTCACTCAGAACGGAGTGCCCCACCCAAATCCAAGGATTCAGTGGGTGGCTTGGCCTCTGTCAGGTCTAGCCTCGAGGCACGCCGGAATTCCTGCAGCAGTTGCAGACACAATTCTGGCTTCGGAGGCGGATTCACAAACGCTCAGTATGAGGATAGGTGGTCCCGCTATGGCGCGCCGCTGGTGTTCAGATAGGGGATTGCAGATCCCTTTTCTGCGGATTTAGTCCGAAAGTATTGGAGTTTTTGCATGCCGCTTTGGAAGAAGGCCTGGCGGCTTCACCATGGCTACTCCACCGCTATTTCCACTTTTCACACCCCTGTCGATGGTGCTCTTCTGGGGCAGCACCCTCTCGTGACAGCGCCGCTGGCGCTGAACGGGTTCGACCTGCTGTCAGGCTTAACCAGCCCACCTTTGGGATTTGTCAATTGTGCTCGATTGGCTGTCCGTCCAACTTCTCACACCTATCGGCTATTTCCATTCAGTTGTTAACTTGGAAGGCTGTTTTTCTGGTGGCGGTAACGCCTGGGCGTAGGGTCGGCGATTTACATGCTATGTCGTCCCGACCCGGGCGCTGACTGTGTTTCACACTGATCGCGGTCAGTATTCGCCTCCCGGATACGCATCACCCAAGGTCGATCACGCTTCCATGTGACAGCTCCTATCGAACTTCCCACTCTTACCCAGCCTTCCACATCGGGACCTCTGCAACGCAGCACTCACCCGCTGGATGTCCGTCAAGACCCTCAAAGTCTATATCAAACTTAACGCAGGGAACTGCACGGGTACCCAGCTGTTCTGTTGTTACGGTGGTATGGAAGGCTGGTGTGCCAGCGCAGCAAGCAGACTTTGTCTCGCTGGCTAGTTTCGTATTTGTGCCGCTTATCAGGCTAAGGGCAAGCCTCCCCTGAGGGGTTGAAGGCTCACTTGGTCAGGGCAGTAGCCGCATCAAAAGCTTTTGCATCGCACTCCCCATTGAAGAGATCTGCTCTGCCGCTATTTGGAGCCGCCTAGCACGCTTATTCGGCATTATCAGCTCGATACACATTCCCCGTAATCATGCGAAGCTTTGGTCGCTCTGTTCTCTCCAGTGGACAGTGTCCTGCCACCCTGACCGAGTGAGTCTTGGTTCATTGGTTTTGTTTGACGCTACTGTACAATACTGTGTGTTATTGACATGTCCGCTACTGGGAGCTAACTACCCACATTTCGATTCTCTACGGAGTATTAAAGTCGATTGTGAGTGTTTGACATTCCCCCCTACGGTGCTCACTAATCGACACGTGGTGGGTGGGGCTTTGTTTACATTCGTACCATGTGCGATTGCCTATGCTAACATTTGGAGGTCGTCTTTGAGCACAAATCCTCCTGTCGGTTCCCCTCCCATAATGCCTCTCGCGGACGCGAAAACTGGGACATACGACAGGTGAGTGTCATGGCGTCTGTTACATTTTTTTCCATTAACGATAGCTATTTGTGTGTGCTTGGACAGAATTCCCTCCTCCCTGGCCTCCGGTCTTTGGGAGTCTGTGTTTATGCATAATATGTACCCCAAGGACGATCTCTATGAAGAAGAATTAACCAAACCTGAAGAGGTTTTCAATTCTTCGAAGAGAGTCGTCCTTGGGGTAGGGCCTCCCGCCTCCCCGCAATTCTGTTCACTGATATATTCAGCAGAAGGAATGATGATATGGGCCTAGGTGCTTACCCAGTTGGTGCTCATGCGTAACGGGAGGTAACTCCGTGAGGTGGGGGCCGTATAATAAATAAAAGAGTGTATTTATTGTACAATCTTTTTATTCAAAAAACATTGATACAACTGTCACAGGACATTTTCAGCTTGGAAAATGCATAATATGTACCCCAAGGACGACTCTCTTCGAAGAATTTAAAACCTCTTCAGGTTTGGTTAAGTTTCATTAAACGCCTTTTTCAGAAGAATATATCAAACAATAAATTATGGCTATTAACTCATTTGAAACTTTTCATGTGATCAGAGTCAAAGTTTCATTTGCTGTAGGCCTTGTTGAATTATATTTTAGATATACTGTGACAGATAGTTTACAGAAATTTTATTTTAAATTTTACATCTCTGCCACAACTTCAGCAGATGTCTATCATATGTGTCTGGTCTCAAACTTGGCTTTTATTTCAGTTGAACCCAGGAAAGGCTGCCCGAGTATTCCAAGCATGTAGTGCATGTATTCGGCACAACATCCAGGTGGCGCTGTACATCCTGCCTCACGTGGTTGTGCAGGTCCTGCAGGATGGACGGGGCGAGGACGTTCAGGAGGTATGTATACATGCTTTATCTTCAGGCAGTTACTTCATGGCAGTGTAAATATGCTGGCTCCGCAAGGACTCAGGGGTACATGGGTGCCCTGCAACTATGCTGATTATAACAGGTTACTGAATGCATTATTTACAGGTTTCAGATAGACAGATTAATTAAAAAGAGCACCTGTTAATTAAGTCAATGAAAACAGAAAGACTTTATTCATGTTTTGTCAGTTAATGTAGAAAGTCCCCCATGATAAAAATTATTTTAAAATAATTCCTTAATTCTTTCATAGGTCATAGGTAAATCTCAATAAAATTAACGTACAACAAGAAAGCCTGTGACTTTTTGTTGTAGATCTACACTGAGATATTAGAGGTGATCAACCAGGTGAAGAAACCTGACACTCGACATCGAAGCCCGTCTGACTTCCGCCACAAGAGTGCCCAGACAGTGTTCTCTGTCCTGGACTATCTGGCCAAGTGGTGTCGGCACCGAGCACAGGCCAAGCCAGCTGCCAACTCCAGCACTAGACGTATGTCAAGGAGCCCATAGATACTAAATGAACTACTCACAACGTACACTGAGTCCTCAGTACTACAGGCTTGTAGTAAATATCAGGATAAATGGGGATCGGATGGTTCTTGTCTGGTTTGCTGATAGCACATGATCTCATACAAGGAAAGATCTTTGATTTTACCTTCAATCTCTGATTTCCCTTGACTCAAGTATTTACAGGGGTTGATATCATCGACAGGCTATCGGTGTCGACTGAATTCATTTGACCATTTCCCGTATAGGCCCAGATGAATTCATTCATTGGGCGAGTATTGGTCTTTACCATGTTTGTCGTAAGATAGGCAACTAACAGGATTGGGTGGTCAGACTTGCAGATTTGTTTAATGCATGGCATCATATCCCAGATTGATGCTAGTTGTGTCAGTAAATGGATTGTCTGGTCCAGATTCAATTACTTAGCTGGAAAATTGCTGAGTGCAGCATTTGACGACAAACAAACAAAACTAGGTCAAGACAGTGTATTTAGTTCTCTGTGTGATAGTCATATCTTGTCTCTGTATAACACAAGTTATTGTATGCATACTACCAGCATGGTGCAGATGGAAACAAGCGACAAAGAAATAGCCATAGAGAATCAGACTTCCGAGGATAGCCTGGTATCACTCCAAATAATATTAGTTCCTCCTCCCCTCTTGTCATAAACTCAGTTGTTGAATTCTTTGAACAGTTTGTCTCACATAAAGACAGTGATCTTCAAAAACACCTTGATTTTGTTCAGGTAACTCTATTAAATGTACAACAAATGTATACGAAGCTTGTTTACAAGGCAACAAAGCAATTGAGTTTGTGTTGAATTTTTGTAAATGCATATTGATTTTAGATTTTAACTGAATCTTGAAGTCGTCTGCCACTTGCTTCCTTATAGATGTTGATGTTGGTGGGTTGGTTTTGGCATAGAGGAGTTCTTTTAGTGACCACAATTTGAAATCGCGGAGTTGCATCCCTTTGGTGTGGTTTGTGGTTTTGACCAGACTGGTGAATGTGTCAACCTGTATTAATTATATGCCAAGATGTAGCTGAAGAAGTGTTCAGGAGGTAGACATGATAAAGGATAAAGTTGGTTTGTCATGGCTTCTTAGAGATACATGTGAAAATGTGTTGATTGGGAAATGTAGCTGTGGAAAACACTGGGCCAAATGTCCACCTGAATATTGTGTTCCTCCAGCCTGTATGTTGCTATGGATGAGCCTGACGGAGTTCTGGGTGTGGCAGCCATTAGAGAGACACCGTCGTCGACACTGATGCAGCAGATACTCACACATGAGAGTCTGGGTATGTGGCATTGCTGTTTGATCTATTGGTTGATTATGTCACTATATCTTTATGTCAATTTGGGGTCACAATTGATCCCTGTTAACAAATATATGACATCTCTGAAAATGGGATTCCAGTGGTTTTATTGTGTCTCCACAACTAACAGCAGTTATGTTGCTGTATTATCAGTGCAGCCTTTATCAGCATTCAAAATGCCTAGTTGTCCACTAGCCCGAGACTATTAAGTTATGCTGAAGACAAGTTAAAAGTCCAGTGATCGTACTGAAGATCATGTGAGGGTTATAATTCTCAATAATTTCTGAATGTTTATATTTGCTGAATAAGTTTGACTCAAAGTGTAAACGCACAAAACAGTCTGGTCTCATTTAAGCAAAACTAGCTGCTACCTCCACTAAATTTTCCGCTAGTTCTCTGTTGTAATTATTTTTTGATTCACTCTTTTTCTAACTTTTATTTTCTCAACCTGTCACTCATACACCTTCTCATATTCTCGTTTTGTTCCTCGCTCACTCGTTCACGCACTCACTCACTCACTCACTCACTCACTCCAGGCCAGCAGCAGGATGCCCAGGCATGTTATGAGCAGGCTATCCAGAAGGAACCGGATGAAGTCAGCCACCACCAGGGTCTGCTGGCCAGTCTCATGGAGCTTGGTCAGCTGAACAAGGCACTGCTGCACACCACCGGGGTCATTGCCGAGAAGTGAGTATATGGAAGTCTGTTGTTTATGAACAAATATTATATGACAGTATTTATTTGGAATAGGTTATCTGAATATGTTTGGATGTGCACAATATTTGTTGAACAAGTCCAGTCAGGCAGTTGTGGCAATATTTGTCAAGTATTTTAGGGCAAACAGTATCCGTACTTTCAGCAGAGTAAGATGGATACATTTTTGCAGATTTCAATTTTATTACCACTTACATTTTTAAGGTGTGTCATGCAGTTGTTTTTGTACATCTCAGACCAGCCTGGAAAGCTCAGCTGAACGCCTACAGGATCGAGGCCTCCTGGAAGTTGGGCAGCTGGGATAAACTGGAGATGTTCTGTCACGGAGAAACTCACCGGCGGAACTGGGCAGTTGGAGTGGGCCGGGTTCTGCTGGCAGCTAAGGACAAGGTAAGCCCATTCCCACTGGGCTGACGTGGAACCCAGCCAATAAAATGGTAGATTGTGCTTGTCGATTATATGAAGAGAAGCAGTTTATTCAAGGGGTTGTAGGACCCACCCTACCTAACAATAGCTTTCCATCAACTGGCTTTCATCAACCTACTTATCCTGTATACTATCTGTGTTATCAACCTCTTCTATTGTATAAACAACTCAATTTCGCCTCATTCTTCATATACTGTCCAAACATCTCATGTTTATATATCACCCAAAATTACTTCTCATGTATAACTTGCTTGACAATCGACATTAGAATCTATGTCGACATGTCGCCTATACAGAATAAGGAGGTGAGGTGAAATTGGGGTTAACGCCGTGCTTGAGAATATTTCGCTCATATGACGTGCATGCTGTGTGTGTATGTGCGGCTGCTTGTACTAGCCCAGACTTAAGCTGGTTTTATAGTGCTAGCCCACTGAGATACCATGCCGCAGTGAAGCATGAATACCCCATTCAGACACATTATACAGACTCCGAAAGCCAACCAGTCCTTGTTGTACCCATTAATGCCGAAATGCCAGGCAGGGACCAACAAGTACCATATTTTAACGCCTTGGTATGACGCTGTCGGGATCGAACCCGCGACCTTTCACAAGCTATACAGAATAAAGAAGTTGTATATCCATAAAAATAGTCCTCATCCTTCAATAGCTTTTGTTGATCCTCAATGCTGCTGTACCATATGTTATATTTGGGATTGCACTTTCTTAGTAAAGTACAGATTCTGGTACTTCTGCTGTTGGATGTTGAAGACATTGATTTGAAATCCTTGTTTTTTATTATATTTTCAGGGTTCGAAATACCCCATATATTAGCGTGCCATGGCACGGTAAATATTGAAATGGCTCGAAAAATATTCCCGGTGCCCTTATGGCACGCCTAATTTTTTATAGACATAACTCACCTTTAGTCATTTAATCCCCAAAACAAAACACTTAGGCAAATGACAAACAAGCAAAAACATTTATTGACTTTATCGCCCAGGAAATCACTGGAATTATGATGGATGATAAAGAAATCTGGTTGTTTTTCCATTTAGAGTGATGGGAGTACTGATAGTTTGGTTATTGAAGAGGAAATTGTGTATGTTCTTCTGAAACAGAAGACATATTAGTGATAACAGAAAACAGGTTACATTTGTTGTGAGATCATCATCATTGCTACAGTTATTTATTCTAAAAACATGTGGGCACACTTGATTTCTGAAAGGCACATTTAAAATATTTTCCTGGTGCCCAAAGGCACACTTAGATAAAAAAAAGTATTTCTATCCCTGATTTTTTCAAAAACTGAATTAGGGTGACATCAGTGAATCATTTTATAATCCATAAGCCGAAAGAGAAATACAGCATCTGAAGAACATTAATAGTGTAATGTTCTCAACTGCATCAGTTTTTCACTGATCGATATAGCATCTCAGTCAGCAATATCTCGGCAGGGGACTCCAGAAATGGGTTTCACTCAAAACTCCCCATGTAAAAAACTGAACGCTTTGACCACTAGTCTACCATTGCCCCTGTAGCATCTCAGACTGTAGTATGAAGTTATAAGGATGACACCACGTTGCTTGTCCCTGCAGAAGGAGGAAGAGTTCTGTAAGCAGCTGGAGATAGTTCGACGTGAGCAGATGGGACCTCTGTCTGCTGCCAGCATGGAGATGGGTTCATACCACCGAGGATATGAGAATATTTGCAGGTAACCTATGGGATCAGACTAATATCAGTGTCTATAAGCCACGGGGCTCACTGTCTGACTGCCAGTGAAACTGCTGTCATGGTTACAGATACATGTAGCAAAAGAATCGAGGGTCCCACTTCGCCTCCCCAGACTATTGTATGGTACCAGTAATGAGCACAGATACAGCAAATCAAAATCAGCTCCAAATGAAGGTTGTTCTTGAAAAATAATTATCAACATCTTGAACAACTTTGTTTGAGAAAGCATGGCCTGGTTCAGTGTTTTTGAGAATGTTTGCAATCTGAAGCCCAAGCAAATTGCTTCATTCATTAGTCAACATTCAGGATGTAAGCATGAAGTATCATTGTTGGAGACACCCACAAAATGTCAAATCATGAGAATCAGTGGATTGGTGTTAAGCAGCAGGGGTGGAAATAACCCATTGCCCGACGTCCGAGTCCAGTGTTTTTTTTCTGTCGGGCAAGCAAATTTGTATATCACACTGTACCGGTGTCCAGTTGACTTTCCAATGTTAATTATGTTGTATATTTTTTAAAAATCAACAAGAAAACGGATGGTATAGTGGGAAAATTATCAGGGCAAGTGATTTTACACGTGCCACTGTTCCAGAGTACACTAGCAATTTTATAGTTATTTCCACCCCTGTTTTAAAGCAGAACTTCAGTTTGTATGTTCTTTGGTTTGGTTGATATTGTTTGCTTCAGTTACATCTGTTGTTTGAATTTCAGTGTCTGTAGCCGAACTTCTGCATTGGCTGTTTATGTTTCAGGCTGCATATGTTGAACGAGATCGAGCAGGTGATGAGAGTGTTGCGGGACTTCCCTGTACACTGTGTTGACTCAGGAGACTCTGCTGCCAAGATGGCACCTGAAGAGCTGATCAAGCAGTGGCAGGACCGCATACAGATGTGTCAGGTAGGGGCAGGACCGCATACAGATGTGTCAGGTGGGGGCAGGACCGCATACAGATGTGTCAGGTAGGGGCAGGACCGCATACAGATGTGTCAGGTAGGGGCAGGACCGCATACAGATGTGTCAGGTAAGTGCAGGAGGCGCATACAGATGTGTCTGGATGTGGGGGCAGGACCGCATACAGATGTCAGGTGGGGGCAGGAGGCGCATACAGATGTGTGGGGCAGGATGGGGCAGGACCGCATACAGATGTGTCATGTGTCAGGTGGGGGCAGGACTGGGGTCAGAACCGCATACAGATGGTCAGGGGCAGGACTGCATACAGACCACATACAGGTCAGGTGGGGCAGGACTGCATACAGATGGTCAGGTGGGGGCAGAACCGCATACAGATGTGTGTCAGGTACAGATGTGTCCAGGCAGGACTGCATACACAGATGTGTCAGTCAGGTGGGGCAGGACTGCATACAGATGTGTGTCAGGTACAGAGGTCAGGGGGCAGAGACCAGGTGGGGCATACAGATGTGTCAGGTGGGGGCAGGACTGCATACAGATGTGTCAGGTGGGGCAGAACAGATGTGCATACAGATACAGATGTCAGGTAGGGGCAGGACCGCATACAAATGTGGCAGGTGGGGGCCTGACCACATACAGGTGGGGGGCAGAACCGCATACAGATATGTGGTTGATACAATGTCAATGAGTTGATCACTACTGGACGCTTTCAGACCATCTGCAACATAGCAGAGAATGAATTCAATCATTGAATTGACTTTCATGGTACACAGCTTTATTGATACTGTTGATGTGTTAAGCAGCCTTCACACGGAAAACTAAAGTTTGACAACAGATGTTGTCAAACTTTCGTGTCATTTGAGCGCCATCTCTCTATCGGTGCGGTCACAAGACAATTTCATTGACTGCGATTGGTTGTTTATGAACAACATGAGTTTGACAACACTTCACACGTCAAACAACACCGAAATTCTTGTTCATAGAGATCGTCCTTGGGGTACATATTATGCATTTTCCAAACTGAAAATGTCCTGTGACAATTGTATCAATGTTTTTTGAATAAAAAGATTGTACAATAAATAAACTTTTTTATTTATTATACGGCCCCCACCCACGGAGTTACCTCCCGTTGCGCATGCGCACCAACTGGGTAAGCTCCTAGGCCCGTATCATCATTCCTTTTGCTGTCACTGCCATGAACAGACACGAATGTGCCGTGCAGAGCTGACTTTATCCGAGATAAAGAACATGTCTGAGACAACACCACCTGTATGTATGGTCTTTATTGCCTAATGAAAGGAACAGTAAAGCTTTGCAGTTGGTTGTTTCATATTGTGACTTTGTATTAATTATTTACGCTAACTTTCCCGTGGTTTACGCGACACGCTGTTCTGCCATGGCGGAAGTTTAGCGTGCCACATGGTCGTAATATTGCGTATTGAACCCACTATTTCTTCCCCGCGTGGTAGCCTTCACGTATTTTTCAATGTTTTCTGTATATATATGTTGCTATGCGCCGTTAGCTACATGCTTGCGTGTTTGCTTTCAGGCCTTTACCTCCTGTTCGGTCTGTGGACAAAGCATTCCACGGGCCGACAGGCATGACCAATGTGTGGCCTGCCTGGAGAAAACCGGCCATGACGCCGAAGTGTGTACTATCTGTCTTGGGTTTTTCCCCCGTGCCCAAAAAGGGAGGGCAGCTTACACTCTCTTTTATAGAGAGATGCGAGAGGCGGGCGGGGAACTTACCCAGGTCCCCCCGTCTAAGACCCAAAAGCGGTCTCGTAAGGGAAAAAAATCCCACAGCCAATCCCCCTCTCCCGCTACTACTGGTGGGTTTGACATGTCATTAATGACTCAATTATTTCAGCAACATATGGACTCGGTGAAGTCCTTGTCCATGAGTCTGTTGGAGGGTTCCGGCAGGAGTTCCTCGCTCACTCTGGACGGGGGGCGGAGAGTCAGGGGGTGGGATCGCCGGGCTCGGCTCGATCCCTCAGCCTTGAGGCGTCTGTAGACCCGTTGCCTCTGGCTTCGGGTCCGGACGCCTCAGCTGCCCCGGAGGGGGAGGTGCTCCCAGTCCCCCTCTCGGAGTTGGCGCAGGGACCGTTGAGTATTCCTGGGGTTCCGATCCCTGCGCCCTCCCGCCCCATGAGAGCGGAGGCACCAGTTCTGCCTGGTATGCCTCCAGCGTCTCGGGACCGGGGTCCGTGCACGCTTGCAGGCGCTGACGCGGGGCACTCTGTCTGCTCCTCCCTCTCTGTGGTTCCTAGTGCTAGGCAGCCCACCGGGTCAGGGTTAGGGTCCTTTTCGAGGAGACCCAGCCTCTGACTCGGGCTTGGGCGCCGAGTCGATGGATACTGGGGAGGTAGAGGAGCATGACGGTGCTTCATTTTTCGCGGCTCTGCGGGAGGTCCGCAAAGGATTGCCGAGTACCTACCCCAGGCCGCGGTGCCTGTTAGCAGCTCGGACTCGGCTGAGTTCCGCTTGCCAGGCGAGGCGTTTGCCCCTAGGCAGCCTACGCAGACGCAGCTCCGCATTCTGCCCTCGTTAGTACAGGACGTGGTGGATCCCCTCTTGTCTGGTTCTCGCCTCTCCGATTTGACTTGCCGGAGCTTGTCAGGAGATACCAGCTTGGGGAGGATTCCCTGTTCGTGGTACCTATCGTGGACGAGTGTGTTACTCCACCGTTTTACTTCCGTCGCCCTGGGGGGAGGCTCGACTTCCTCCGGAGCAGCTCCGGCTGCTCGGCAAGGGCGTGTTACTCCACCGTTTGCCCTCGCGGGCGCCCCCCTGCAGCATGCATACCGTACCTACGAGGAGGTTTACCGGAACGCCATGCAGCAGGTCAGGGTGGTGGTCCATGAGGCCTACCTCTCCTCGATACAGAGGTCGGCCCTGGAGGCGGAGGGGCATGCTGGTGACGTTTCGCCGCATGTCGTGCTGCTCCGTCAGCTATCGGAAGTACAGGCCCACCTCGCGAGCGACTCTTTGCGGTCTGCTGCGTCGACGGCGCAAGCTGTGGCTGTTGATGTCTCGGTACTCGGCAGCGACACAGCAGACCTTGCTGGCCCTCCCATTCCGTCTGGGAGCGACCCTCTTTCCAGGGGCACAGCAGGTCATTCGGGAGGCTGCCGCTGCAGCTACCTCCTTCAAGGACTCTAAGGCCTTGTTGGAGCACCCGCGGGTGTCTCGCCCCCACGCTCCCGTTCCACCTTCCTCCGCCGGGTGCAGCCTACACCCGAGTCTGCCGGCTGGCTTCGGCCGCTTGGTAGGGGTAGGCGGTGGAACCGGTCCGCCAAGGGTAGGGGCAAGGAACAGTCCTCGTTGACTAGCTCCCAGCCTTTTCGCGGGCGCGGGAGGTCTGCCCCGACCTCCCGTTAACCCATCAGGCCCGTGTGTCACGCCCAGTCAGCTCCGCTACTCGGGACAACGCACGCGCTCCTACCCCAAATCCCAGTGGGAGGCCGCCTCTCTCTATTCCTGCCGGAATGGGAGAAGGCTACCAACAATGCTTGGGTGCTGTCCACCGTCAGCATCGGCCATTTACCACTGTGGAAGCGAGGTCCGCCCGACTTCACCGGCATACGCCGCACTCCGGTGCCGTCATGTCAGGCAAGGGCGGACATATTGCGAGACGAAGTCCAGGCTCTGCTGGACAAGTCCGCAATCGAGAGCATTCCACCGGGAGAGGAACAGGCGGGATTTTACTCCACGTACTTCCTCGTCCAGAAGAAAGACGGCGGGTTCCGTCCCATTCTCAACCTCAAGGGTTGAACCGCGATGCTAGAAGTACCATCCTTCAAGATGGAGACACTGCGCCGGTGATCTCATCTGTTCAGCCCGGCGATTGGCTCACGCCAATCGACCTAAAGGATGCGCGATTCAGCATGTGCCCATACATCCATCGCTCAAGCAGTACCTTCGGTTCTCTTTATGACGGGATGTGTTACCAATTCAGGGTGCTCCTCTTCGCATATCGACTGCCCCAAGGGTGTTCACCAAGCTCATGTTAGTCCGGCTACCCTCGCCGCCGCGAAGGAAGGTGTTGTTACCCTTACCTCGACGACTGGTTGCTCGGAGCACTAACACAGCCAGCGAAGTCTAGATGCTACTCACACAGTGATAGACATTCTAATCTCGACTGGGGTGGATCATCAACCTCAAGAAATCCGACCTGGTACCCACCCAGGACTTGGTTTTTCTTGGGGCGCGATTCCAAACACTCAAGGATCTCGTTTCCTTGTCGCCCGACCGGATCACCAGAGTTCGGGAGATGGTATCTTCGTTCCTCTCCCAGCCCCAGGCACCAGCACGGACTTGGCTCGCCTACTGGGCCATATGGCGGCGACGCATCTCTGTAGTGTATGGGCTGTTGAGGATGCGCCCTATACAGCAAGCTTTGGCAAGGCTGTGGGCTCACACGGAGGACCTTGAGCGCAGTCTCACAGTCCCCGGGTGGTTGACACCTCACCTTCAGTGGTGGACAAATGTCGGGAATCTCACCAGGGGGATCCCCTTGGAAATCCCGACGCCAGCTCTCACAGTTCAGACCGATGCGTCCCTCACGGGCTGGGGGGGTGTTCTGGGCAGTCTGTCGGTGTCCGGACTCTGGTCCGAAGCCGAAGCCCACCTTCACATCAACGTGTTGGAACTGAGAGCTGTGCGGTTGGTTTTCGAGCGCTTCAGAGAGCATGTCCGTGGCCAGGTAGTCCGTCTTCAGTTGGACAACCAGACGGCCATGTCGTACATCCTGAAGCAGGGCGGCACGGTGTCCCCAGCGGCTCCTCCGGGAGGTGGGACTTTCTCCTCTGGTGCCACCAGTGCGATTGTCAGGTACTCCCTGTTTATCTCCCGGGCTGGAGAACGTATGCGAGCAGACGCTGGCTTCTCCGCGCCGGATCCTGGCCCCGCGACGCAGTGGATGCTCGACAGGCAGATTTTCAGAGTAATCTCCCAGTTGTACGGGTCGCTCCAGGTGGATCTGTTTGCGTCCGGGCGGGACGTAATCAGACACCCGTGTTCTGCTCTCGAATACCGACCCAGGGTTGGCTGCCGACGCCTTCCTGCTGGATTGGACGGGCAAAGTGCTCTATGCTCCCGCCGCTACCACTCATTCCCCGTGTCCTTTCACAGCTGTCCACCCAGCCAGCTCGGCTGCTTGTGCTACTGGCACCGCTTTGGCCGCCACAGAGCTGGTTTCCGTAATTCTCAGGTTTCTGGCTCAGCCTCCTGTTCTATTACCTTTACGATCGGACATTCTCACTCAGAACGGAGCCCCACCCAAATCCACGGATTCAGTGGGTGGCTTGGCCTCTGTCAGGTCAGGTCTAGCCTCGAGGCACGCTGGAATTCCTGCAGCAGTTGCAGACACAATTCTGGCTTCGGTAGGCGGATTCGACAAACGCTCAGTATGAGGATAGGTGGTCCCGCTTATGCTGGTGTTCAGATAGGGGATTGCAGATCCCTTTCTCGCGGATTTAGTCCGAAAGTATTGGAGTTTTTGCAAGCTCGCTTTGGAAGAAGGCCTGGCTGCTTCGACCATCTCGTGGGCTACTCCACCGCTATTTCCACTTTTCACACCCCTGTCGATGGTGCTCTTTCTGGGGCAGCACCTCTCAGACAGCGCTTCGCTGCGCTGAACGGTTCGACCTGCTCTCAGGCCGTAACCAGTCCACCTTGGGATTTGTCAATTGTGCTCGATTGGCTGTCCGTCCAACTTTCTCACACCTATCGGCTATTTCCATTCAGTTGTTAACTTGGAAGGCTGTTTTTCTGGTGGCGTAACATCTGGACGTAGGGTCGGCGATTTACATGCTATGTCGCCCCAACCCGGGCGCTGACTGTGTTTCACACTGATCGTGTCAGCATTCGCCTCCGGATACTTAATACACCAAGGTCGATCACGCTTCCATGTGACAGCTCCTATCGAACTTCCCACTCTTACCCAGCCTTCCACATCGGGACCTCTCCTACGCAGCACTCACCCGCTGGATGTCCGTGAAGACGCCAAAGTCTATATCAAACTAACGCAGGGAATCTGCAGACGGGTACCCAGCTGTTCTGTTGTTAATGGTGGCGGAAGGCTGGTGTGCCAGCAGCAAGCAGACTTTGTCTCGCTGGCTAGTTTCGTATTTGTGCCGCTTTATCAGGCTAAGGGCAAGCCTCCCCTGAGGGGTTGAAGGCTCACTCGGTCAGGGCAGTAGCCGCGATCAAAGCTTTTGCATCGGCACTCCCCATTGAAGAGATCTGCTCTGCCGCTATTTGGAGCCGGCCAAGACGCTTATATCGCACTATCAGCTCGATACACATTCCCGTAATCGTGCGAGCTTTGGCCGTTCTGTTCTCTCCAGTGGACAGTGTCCTGCCACCCTGACCAAGTGAGTCTTGGTTTATTGGTTTGTTTATTGACGCTGCTGTACAATAATGTGTATTATTGACCTATCCGCTACTAGGAGCTAACTACCCCCTTTCGATTCTCTCAGGAGTTATTAAGTCGATTCTGAGCAGTTTTGACATTCCCCCCTACGGTGCTCACTAATCGACACGTGGTGGGTGGGGTTTTGTTGACATTCGTACCATGTGCGATTGCCTATGCTAAACGTATGGAGGTCGTCTTTGTGCACAATTCCTCCCTGTCAGTTCCCCTCCCATAATGCCTCTCGCGGAAGCGCAACTGGGACAAGTGACAGGTGAGTGTTATGGCGTCTGTTCAATTTTTTTCCATGATACGATCGCTATTTGTGTGTGCTTGACAGAATTCCCTCCTCCCTGGCCTCCGGTCTTTGGGAGTCTGTGTTTATGCATAATATGTACCCCAAGGACGATCTCTATGAAGAAGAATTAACCAAACCTGAAGAGGTTTTCAATTCTTCGAAGAGAGTCGCCCTGGGTAGGGCCTCCCGCTCCCCAAGCAATTCTGTTCACTGATATATTCAGCAGAAGGAATGATGATACGGGCCTAGGAGCTTACTCCAGTTGGAAAGCATGCTAACGGGAGGTAACTCCGTGAGGTGGGGGCCGTATAATAAATAAAAAAGTTTATTTATTGTACAATCTTTTTATTCAAAAAACATTGATAGAACTGTCACAGGACATTTTCAGTTTGGAAAATGCATAATATGTACCCCAAGGACGACTCTCTTCGAAGAATTGAAAACCTCTTCAGGTTTGGTTAGGTTTGATGGATAAGTTGGTGAGAATAGAGACCGATCCTGTTCCTCGACAACAGTTTGACAACTCTGAAATTGGTGTTGGTGGCGAGTTGTTGAATGTTCACACTCTCAAACTCGAGTTTTGTCCCAACTTAAGTTTGCCTTGTGAAGGCCGCTTTAGTGATTTCAAACTACAGCTGCATTGTGCAGGGATGCCAATTTTCCACGGATTTTATTTCAAATTGTTCAATTGTGAATCGTCTAAATCCATTGAGAAACCATCAACTCGATGAGACAATATTAAATTTTCAGCTGAAAATAGATTTTCCTGTTGCCATCCCTGATTGTGGCATGCAGATAATTCAGTTGTACAGGATGTAGAGGGTAGGAACTCCATGTCTTGCCATGAGTTATTCTTAAGATTTGTTTTACAGATATTTTTTGTGTTAAATATGTGTGTATTTGAATCTTATTTCATGACTTCAGTCATCTTTCCGAATCCAAGACCCTATCCTGACCTTGAGACGGACCCTGTTGACCCTGTGTCAGTCGGACCATGACCTCAGCACCATGGTGGGCAAGTCGTGGCTCTGGAGCACCAAAGTGGCCAGGAAGTAAGTTGCAACATCACAATCATAACACCAGTAAGTCTCAAAGTCATAACCCCAGTAGGCCACCATATCACAGTCATAACACCAGTAGGCCACCACATGATAGTCATAACACCAGTAGGTCACCATATCACAGTCATAACACCAGTAGGTCATCACATCACAGTCATAACACCAGTAGGTCACCACATCACAGTCATAACACCAGTAGGTCATCACATCACAGTCATAACACCAGTAGGTCACCATATCACAGTCATAACACCAGTAGGTCACCACATGACAGTGATAACACCAGTAGGTCACCACATCACAGTCATAACACCAGTAGGTCATCACATCACAGTCATAACACCAGTAGGTCACCACATCACAGTCATAACACCAGTAGGTCATCACATCACAGTCATAACACCAGTAGGTCACCACATCACAGTCATAACACCAGTAGGTCACCACATCACAGTCATAACCCCAGTAGGTCACCACATCACAGTCACAACCCCAGTAGGTCACCACATCACAGTCACAACCCCAGTAGGTCACCACATCAAAGTCATAACGCCAGGAAAAATGAACACTCTTCACTGAAATGTACCTTTTTGCACTGTAAACTTCATCTCTAAGAAAAATAACTTCACATGCTTGTTTCCATCAATGATGGCACACCAGCTATTGTATAAAAGTTGTCTTCTCAGTACATATGGGAATAAGTTGGAAATGCTACTTTCAGCAGTCTTTTAAATCTATCACAGTAAAGTCACCATAGGTTCACACATGCAGGGAATCAAACCCAGATCATTTCCAGAATCAGCAAGCGCTTTAACCTTCATGGCTACCCTTCAGTGTTATGCAAGACAATTCCACCCACAGCAAGCAAACTTTTTAAAGTGAAACATATTTACAGTGCTCCGGAGAATTATTGACTTATTTTATTATATATGTTCTTTCAGATCAGCATATCTCCAGACGGCATACACCTGTCTACTGCAAGCCAGCACCTTCAGTCTGCCCGAGTTCTTCCTGGAGAAGGCAAAGTGGCTCTGGGAAAAGGTAGATCCCTGTTTCTACTCATTAGTACTGCTCACTCTCAGGTTTGGATTCCATGCTGTATAGGCCCCCAGTACCTTGTGGGTGTCATCCAAGACCATGGAGAATGATCTGTTGCTGATACTGTTTAACATTGGTAATCCCTGCTGTATAGGCCCCCAGTACCTTGTGCCTGTCATCCAAGACCATGGAGAATGATCTGTTGCTGATACTGTTTAACAATGGTAATCCCTGCTGTATAGGCCCCCAGTACCTTGTGCGTGTCATCCAAGACCATGGAGAATGATCTGTTGCTGATACTGTTTAACAATGGTAATGCCTGCTGTATAGGCCCCCAGTACCTTGTGCGTGTCATCCAAGACCATGGAGAATGATCTGTTGCTGATACTGTTTAACAATGGTAATGCCTGCTGTATAGACCCCAGTACCTTGTGCATGTCATCCAAGACAATGATCTGTTGCTGATACTGTTATAACAATGGTAATGCCTGCTGTGTATGCCCCCCCAGTACAAGCATGTCATCCAAGACCATGGAGAATGATCTGTTGCTGATACTGTTTAACAATGGTAATGCCTGCTGTATAGGCCCCCAGTACCTTGTGCGTGTCATCCAAGACCATGGAGAATGATCTGTTGCTGATACTGTTTAACAATGGTAATGCCTGCTGTATAGACCCCAGTACCTTGTGCATGTCATCCAAGACAATGATCTGTTGCTGATACTGTTTAACAATGGTAATCCCTGCTGTATAGGCCCCCAGTACCTTGTGCATGTCATCCAAGACCATGGAGAATGATCTGTTGCTGATACTGTTTAACAATGGTAATCCCTGCTGTATAGGCCCTCAGTACCTTGTGCGGTCATCCAAGACAATGATCTGTTGCTGATACTGTTTAACAAAGGGTAATGCCTGCTGTATAGGCCCCAGTACCTTGTGCATGTCATCCAAGACAATGATCTGTTGCTGATACTGTTTAACAATGGTAATCCCTGCTGTATAGGCCCCCAGTACCTTGTGCATGTCATCCAAGACCATGGAGAATGATCTGTTGCTGATACTGTTTAACAATGGTAATCCCTGCTGTATAGGCCCCAGTACCTTGTGCATGTCATCCAAGACCATGGAGAATGATCTGTTGCTGATACTGTTATAACAATGGTAATGCCTGCTGTATAGGCCCCCAGTACCTTGTGCCTGTCATCCAAGACCATGGAGAATGATCTGTTGCTGATACTGTTTAACAATGGTAATGCCTGCTGTATAGGCCCCCAGTACCTTGTGCGTGTCATCCAAGACCATGGAGAATGATCTGTTGCTGATACTGTTTAACAATGGTAATCCCTGCTGTATAGGCCCCCAGTACCTTGTGCGTGTCATCCAAGACCATGGAGAATGATCTGTTGCTGATACTGTTTAACAATGGTAATCCCTGCTGTATAGGCCCCCAGTACCTTGTGCGTGTCATCCAAGACCATGGAGAATGATCTGTTGCTGATACTGTTTAACAATGGTAATGCCTGCTGTATAGGCCCCCAGTACCTTGTGCGTGTCATCCAAGACCATGGAGAATGATCTGTTGCTGATACTGTTTAACAATGGTAATCCCTGCTGTATAGGCCCCCAGTACCTTGTGCATGTCATCCAAGACCATGGAGAATGATCTGTTGCTGATACTGTTTAACAATGGTAATCCCTGCTGTATAGGCCCCCAGTACCTTGTGCATGTCATCCAAGACAATGATCTGTTACTGATACTGTTTAACAATGGTAATGCCTGCTGTATAGGCCCCCAGTACCTTGTGCGTGTCATCCAAGACCATGGAGAATGATCTGTTGCTGATACTGTTTAACAATGGTAATCCCTGCTGTATAGGCCCCCAGTACCTTGTGCATGTCATCCAAGACCATGGAGAATGATCTGTTGCTGATACTGTTTAACAATGGTAATGCCTGCTGTATAGGCCCCCAGTACCTTGTGCGTGTCATCCAAGACCATGGAGAATGATCTGTTGCTGATACTGTTTAACAATGGTAATCCCTGCTGTATAGGCCCCCAGGACCTTGTGCATGTCATCCAAGACCATGGAGAATGATCTGTTGCTGATACTGTTTAACAATGGTAATCCCTGCTGTATAGGCCCCCAGTACCTGTGCGTGTCATCCAAGACCATGGAGAATGATCTGTTGCTGATACTGTTTACCAATGGTAATCCCTGGCCAAATTAGTTCCAGGATGCTGAGTTATAGCTGAAAAATTGCTGATTGAAACTATTTATTAATTGAATGATCTGTTTTGGGCACCATACCAGTTGTTTGATTTTGCATACGTTTCTCTGTTTAGTCAGACTCTTAAGTCAAGCCAAACGTAAAGATTGATTTGTAGGATCAGGAACAAAGACTTTGTATTGTGGTCTATATTGCTTAGTGAGGCGTAAAACTATACTCACTCACTCACTCTATTGTGGTCTGATAGTATGTTCAAGTATTGTTCCAACCTGAATGGCAGATCTGCTTTAGGGACTAAATACATTGCAGTATTCCTAGGTGAGAATTACGTCGACTAAAAGGGGATTGTATGAGATGGCCAGGATCTAATCAGAAAGATGTTTCAAGTCAGAAATGACTATATATTTTCAGTTTCTCAGTGTGCTGTGTTTGTGTTGTCAGGGCAACAATGATGAGGCTCTTACGTGTTTGGAGAAAGGTATTTCTGTCAACTTCAACAACATGTCCCAGCTGAAAATGGACAACTCGGATGAAGGCAAGCAGAAGAAGAAGACATATGCTCAAGTAAGTGTCCACAGATTGAGGTAGTGTGATAGTGGATGCCTTTTGAAAAAAAGGTGCCAAGGGTTTTCGGGGCAACATTCCTTAGTATATGTGGATTCTATTGTCTCTTAGCAAATATCACTAACTTGTTACAATTGACTGATCAGTCAAACTGTTAGTCTTTATACAAGTCAAGGCAATGGGGTAGCCTTGTGGTTGAAGCGTTCGCTCGTCGCGCCAAAGACCCAGGTTCGATTCCCCACATAGGTACAATGTTTGAAGCCCATTTCTGTTGTACCCTGCTGTGATGTTGCTGGAATATTGCTAAAAGTGGCTTAAAACTAAACTCACTCATTCACTCACTCACTCACTCTATGCCAGGTTATTTTATTTATTCTACCAAGGGGAAATTCTCATAAGTCCATTCACTTGTACAAGCTAAATTACTTTCAAACCACAGTACATACTTGACTGATATAAAACAAATCATGCAAACAATCAGCCTACAGTACTCTCCCATGCCAAGCTGACATGTTCACTGACGGTGTGTACATTGCCAGGGCTTGTTGCTGTATGGGCGTTACAGCGAGGACACCTCCAGTCTGGAGAGCAATGCCATCATGAAGCAGTACAAGGATGTGATCGACATCTACCCCAGGTGGGAGGATGGCCACTTCTACCTGGCCAAGTATTATGACAAGATCATGATGGCTCTCATTGATGACAAGGAGAAGCCAGAGAAGCAGGGGTAGGTATCTCGCTCCACATTCACACGAGCCACTCTGGTCTGATCAGGTTTTTGGAGTAGAGAAATTATGCACAGTCATTGTCACCCGCAACCATATCTTGATGCATACAGTTTATGAAACAATTTATCCATATCGTATTGAGTGGTAGTTTTGTTAAATTAAATATTTGAACACGATTTGAACTGTCACTTTAGACACTTCTAACCATTATGGATTCCTGCCACTGTTGACCCGTTAAGGTCCGGGTTAGAATGAGCCTTCAGTAACCCATGCTTGTCGAATAAGAGGCGACTAACGGGATAGGGTGGTCAGGCTCGCTGACTTCGTTGACACATGACACATGTCATCGGTTCCCAATTGTGCAGATCGATGCTCATGCTGTTGATCACTGGATTGTCTGGTCCAGACTCGATCACTTACAGACCGCTGCCACTAGACTCTGGTTTCTGGTGTTCCCCGCCGTGATATTGCTGGAATATTGCTAAAAGCTGCGTAAAATCAAACTCACTCACTCTAAGGTCTTCAGTGCCAGGTGTTTGTGGCTTGAGAGGGTAGATAACTCTTGTCGCTGCGGCTTCAGAGGCCTTAGGGACCAAAATATATGACTTGAGTAAACTTTCATGACCAGCTCCATGACTGTGCTGACAGCTGACCAATCTATGTTAATGGAACTACTGCTTCATTTCGCGTGGAGAGCGAAGTGGAGGATATAGTATTAGGCTCCGCATGTCCGTCCGTACGTACGAATTGGAATATCTTAAGAACCGTTGACTAGATTCTTTTCATATTTGGTGCCTAGGTTCATCACAGTATAAGAAAGGTCCAAATCAGGTTTGGTGACTTTGACCTTCATTTCTAGTTCGCAAGGGGACTTTAACATTTTACCTGCATGTTAAGCTATCCAGAACCGTTCACTGGATTTTCTTCATATTCAACACCAAGCTTTATCTAGGGAAGGCGCAGGGCCCAGTCGATTTTGGTGATCTTCACATAATTTTCAAGGTCATGGAGACACTTTGAAGATTTCAGTATGTAAACCTGCATGTTAAGTTATCTCAAGAACCGTTCCCCTGGATTTTATTCATATTCAACACCAAGTTTTAACTAGGGAAGGCGCAGGGCCCAGTTGATTTTGGTGACCTTCACATAATTTTTCTTCATATTTGACACCAAATTTATCGAGAGAAGGCGCAGGGCCCAGTCATTCTTCTTCATAGAGATCGTCCTTGGGGTACATATTATGCATTTTCCGAGCTGAAAATGTCCTGTGACAGTTGTATCAATGTTTTTGAATAAAAATATTGTACAATAAATAAAATCTTTTTATTTATTATACGGCCCCCACCTCGTGGAGTTACCTCCTGTTGCGCATGCGCACCAACTGGGTAAGCACCTAGGCCCGTATCATCATTCCTTCTGCTGTCACTGCCTTGTAAAGACGCATGTGTCGAGCAGAGCTGTACTCTTGTGAACTAAAGAGAATAATGTCTGAGACGCCACCACCTGTATGTATGGTCTTTATTTTGTCCTTGAAAGGAACAGTAAAGCTTTGCGGTCGGTTGTTTCATAATTGTGACTTTGTATTAATTATTTATGCTAGCACTTTCACGTGCTTTACGCACGTGTTGCTATTCCATGGTGGGAAGTTTAGCGTGCCACGTGGTTGTAATATTGCATTTGAACCAACTATTTCTTCCCGTGGTCGCATTCACGTTATTTTTCAATGTTTCTACGTGTATCTTAGGCTGCTGGTCCGCTGTTAGCTACATGCTTGCTGGTTGCTTTCAGGCGTTTTCTTCATGTTCGGTCTGCGGGCAAAGTATCCCCCGGGCCGACCGCCATGATAAGTGTATCGTGTGCCTTGAGAAAACCGACCATATCACGGACACTTGCGAGATCTGTATGGGTTTCTCCCCCCGGGCCCAGAAGAGACGGGCGGCCGACTTCCTATTCTATAGGGAGATGCGTGAGGCGGGAGGGGAATTGACCAGGGTCCCCCCGTCCAAAGCAAAAAAGCCTAAAAGTAAAGGCAGAAAGTCGCGCAGTCAGTCGCCTTCCACTGCTCCTAGTAGCGGATTTGATATGTCTCTGATTACTCAGTTATTCCAGCAGCACATGGACTCGGTGAAGTCCCTTGTTCACGAGTCGGTTGGAGGTCTCCGCCAGGAGTTCCTCGCCCACTCGGAGCAGGGTACGGAGAGTCTGGGGGTGGAATCGCCGAGCCCGGCTCGATCCCTCGGCCTTGAGGCGTCTGTCGATCCGTTGCCTCTGGCTTCGGGTCCGGACGCCTTGGCTGCCCCAGAGGGGGGAGGCTTCGCTCCCAGTCCCCCTCTCGGAATTGGCGCAGGGTCCGTTGAGGATTCCTGGGGTTCCGGTCTCTGCGCCGTCCCGCCCCATGAGAGCGGAGGCACCAGTTCTGCCTGGTCTGCCTCCAGCGTCTCGGGACCGGGGTTCGTGCGTGATGGCAGGTGCTGACGCGGGGCGCTCTGTCTGTTCTTCCCTCTCCTCTGTGACTGGTGCTAGGCCGCCCACCGGGTCGGGGTTCGGGTCCTCTTCGCGAGGAGACCCAGCCTCGGACTCGGGCTCGGGCGACGAGTCCATGGACACTGGGGAGGTTGAGGAGCAGGAGGGTGCCTTCCGTTTTTCGTCGGCTCTGAGGGAAGTCCGGCAGCGCATTGCCGAGTTCCTTCCCCAGGCCGCGGTGCCTACCAGCCGCTCGGACTCGACTGAGTTCCGCTTGCCAGGCGAGGCGTTTGCCCCTCGGCAGCCTACGCAGACGCTGCTCCGCATTCTGCCGTCCTTGGTGCAGGACGTGGTCGATCCCCTCCTGTCTGGGTCCCGCCTCCGTTTCGACTTGCCTGAGCTTGTCCGGAGGTACCAGCTGGGGGAAGATTCCCTGTTCGCTGTACCAATGGTCGACATATGTGTTTTCACTTCGGTCGCCCTGGGGGGAGGCTCGGCTTCCTCCGGAGCAGCTCCGGCTGCCAGGCAAGGGCGTTTGACACCACCTTTTGCCCTCGCGGGCGCCCCCCTGCTGCATGCGTACCGGACCTACGAGGAGGTCTACCGGAACGCTATGCAGCAGGTGCGGGTAGTGGTCCACGAGGCCTACCTCTCCTCGATCCAGAGGTCGGCCCTGGAGGCGGAGGGGCACGCTGGAGACGTGTCTCCGCATGTCGTTCTGCTCCGTCAACTGTCCGAAGTCCAGGCACACCTCGCGCGCGACTCTTTGCGGTCGGCTGCGTCGACGGTGATGTGCGCAGTCATGGGGATGCGCAAGCTGTGGCTGTCGACGTCTCGGTACTCGGCTGCTACACAGCAGACCTTGCTGGCCCTCCCCTACCGTCTGGGAGCGACGCTGTTTCCTGGGGCACAGCAGGTCATCCGGGAGGCTGCCGCTGCAGCTACCTCCTTCAAGGACTCTAAGGCCTTGTTGGAGCACCCGCGGGCTTCTCGCCCCCGCGCTCCCGTTCCGACTTCCTCCGCCGGGGTGCAGCCTACATCCGAGTCTGCTGGCTGGCTTCGGCCGCTAGGCAGGGGTAGGCGGAGGAGCCGTCCCGCCAAGGGTAAGGGCAAAGAGCAGTCCTCTTCGACTGGCTCCCAGCCTTTTCGCGGGCGCGGGAGGTCTGCCTCGACCTCCCGTTAACCCATCAGGCTGTAGCACAAGACGTGTGTCACTCCCAGTCAGCTCCGCTACTCGGGACCACTCACGCTCTTACCCAACGTCCCAGTGGGAGGCCACCTCTCTCTATTCCTGCCGGAGTGGGAGAAGGCTACCAGCAACCCTTGGGTGCTGTCCACCGTCAGTGTCGGCCATTTACCACTGTGGAAGCGAGGTCCGCCCGACTTCACCGGCATACGCCGCACTCCGGTGCCGTCATGTCAGGCAAGGGCGGACATACTGCGCGACGAAGTCCAGGCTTTGCTGGACAAGTCCGCAATCGAGCGCATACCACCGGGCGAGGAACAGGCGGGATTTTACTCCACATACTTCCTCGTTCCGAAGAAAGACGGCGGGTTCCGTCCCATTCTCAACCTCAAGGGGTTGAATCGCATGCTCGAAGTTCCATCCTTCAAGATGGAGACACTGGGCGCCGGGTGATCTCCTCTGTTCAGCCCGGCGATTGGCTCACGTCAATCGACCTCAAGGATGCGTATCTGCATGTGCCCATACATCCATCGTTCAAGCAGTACCTTCGGTTCTCTTACGACGGGATGCATTACCAGTTCACGGTGCTCCCCTTCAGCATATCCACTGCCCCCAGGGTGTTCACCAAGCTCATGTTAGTCCCGGTTACCCTCGCTCGCTCGCAAGGAAGGCGTTGTTACCCTTACCTCGACGACTGGTTGCTCGGTGCACTAACACAGCCAGCGAGCCTAGATTCTACTCACAAGGTGATAGACATTCTAGTACGACTGGGGTGGATCATCAACCTCAAGAAATCCGACCTGGTACCCACCCAGGACTTGGTTTTTCTCGGGGCGAGGTTCCAAAAACACAAGGATCTTGTTTCCTTGTCGCCCGACCGGGTCACCAGAGTACGGGAGATGGTGTCCACCCAGCTGTCCACCCAGCCAGCTCGGCTGCTTGTGCTACTGGCACCGTTTTGGCCGTCACAGAGCTGGTTTCCGGTAATTCTCAGGTTTCTGGCTCAGCCTCCTGTTCTATTACCTTTGCGACCGGACATTCTCACTCAGAACGGAGCGCCACACCCCAATCCAACGATTCAGTGGGTGGCTTGGCCTCTGCCAGGTCTAACCTCGAAGCACGCGGAATTCCTGCAGCAGTTGCAGACACAATTCTGGCTTCGAGGCGGGATTCGACAAACGTTCAGTACAAGGATAGGTGGTCCCGCTATGCGCGCTGGTGTTCAGATAGGGGGATTGCAGATCCCTTTTCTGCGGATTTAGTCCGAGTATTGGAGTTTTGCAAGCTCGTTTGGAAGAAGGCCTGGCGGCCGACCATTCATTCGTGGCTACTCCACCGCTATTTCCACTTTTCACACCCCTGTCGATGGTGCTCTTCTGGGGCAGCACCCTCTCGTACAGCGCTTTTTAGCTGGCATGGATCGGGTTCGGCCTGCTGTCAGGCGAACCAGCCCACCTTGGGATTTGTCAATTGTGCTCGATTGGCTGTCCGGTCCAACTTTCTCACACCTATGGGCTATTTCCATTCAGTTGTTCACTTGGAAGGCTGTATTTCTGGTGGCGGTAACATCTGGGCGTAGGGTCGGCGATTTACATGCTATGTCGTCCGACCCGGCGCTGACTGTGTTTCACACTGATCGTGTCAGCATTCGCCTCCCGGATACTTACCGCCCGAAGGTCGATCACGCTTTCCATGTGACAGCTCCTATCGAACTTCCCACTCTTACCCAGCCTTCCACATCGGGGACCTCTCCTACGAGCACTCACCCGTTGGATGTCCGTAAGACTCTCAAGGTCTATATCAAACGAACACAGGGAATCCGTACGGGTACCCAGCTGTTCTGTTGTTATGGTGGCGGGAAGGCTGGTGTGCCAGCGAGCAAGCAGACTTTGTCTCGCTGGCTGGTCTCGGTCATTTGTGCTGCGTATCAGGCTAAGGGCAAGCCTCCCCCTGAGGGGTTGAAGGCTCACTCGGTCAGGGCAGTAGCCGCATCAAAAGCTTTTGCATCGGCACTCCCCATTGAAGAGATCTGCTCTGCCGCTATTTGGAGCCGGCCTAGCACGTTTATTCGGCACTATCAGCTCGATACACATTCCCGTAATCGTGCGAGCTTTGGCCGTTCTGTTCTCTCCAGTGGACAGTGTCCTGCCACCCTGACCGAGTGAGTCTTGGTTCATTGGTTTTGTTGACGCTGCTGTTCAATACTGTGTTTTTATTGACATATCCGCTGCTGGGTGTATAACCTCCTTTCGATCCTCTTCGGAGATTCTGGTCGGTAGTGAGCGTTTTTTCCCCCCTACGGTGCTCTCTAATCGACACAAGGTGGGTGGGGTTTTTGTTTACATTCGCACCATGTGCGAATTCTTATGCTAACCTGCGAGGTCGTCTCTGAGTACTATTCCTCCCTGTCAGTTCCCCTCCCATAATGCCTCTCGCGGAAGCGCAAACGGGGACATGTGACAGGTGAGTGATTATGGCGTCTGTTACATTTTTCAATTCACGATCGCTATTTGTGTGTGCTTTGACAGAATTCCCTCCTCCCTGGCCTCCGGTCTTTGGGAGTCTGTGTTTATGCATAATATGTACCCCAAGGACGATCTCTATGAAGAAGAATTAACCAAACCTGAGGAGGTTTTAAATTCTTCGAAGAGAGTCGTCCTTGGGGTAGGGCCTCCCGCCTCCCCGCAATTCTGTTCACTGATTTATTCAGCAGAAGGATTGATGATACAGGCCTAGGTGCTTACCCAGTTGGTGCGCATGCGTAACTGGATGTAACTCCACGAGGTGGGGGCCGTATAATAAATAAAAAGATTTTATTTATTGTACAATATTTTTATTCAAAAACATTGATACAACTGTCACAGAACATTTTCAGCTCGGAAAATGCATAATATGTACCCCAAGGACGACTCTCTTCGAAGAATTTAAAACCTCTTCAGGTTTGGTTAAATTTTGGTGACCTTCACTTAATTTTCAAGGTCACGGCGACACTTTGAAGATTTCAGCATCTTAAACTGCATGTTAAGATTGTCAGCGAGATATCTCAAGAACAGTTCACTTGATTTTTTTCAAAGACTTTCAAGACTTCCCTTGAATGTTTTTCAATAAGCAATTTCTTTATTACTATTTTTGCATATTTCATACACTAAGACATTAATGTCAAGGTCAAAGTGAGTCTTGAAAATATTTGTGCATTTGAACAACTACAGAACAAGATATCAAGAGAGGTGGACTGGTCATGTTTTTGTTTACATTTAACTTCATCTTAAATTACAACCTTCACTTTCATTACTTTGTAAGTTTGATTTGATAACTTGCGGCGGGGGATTATGTCACCTTAGTGACAATGCTTGTTATTTCTTGCATTAGGGAATTGTCAAAAAATAATACGAGAACTTGTCTTTAGTTCAGTGTTTTAACATGAAATGTCAAACCTTAATAAACATGTACTTGAAAGTGTGCTAACGCTCTTCTACTTTATTTGTGTACCATCACAGAGAGTTCATCATCTATGTGGTGAAGTTCTTCGGCCAGTCGCTGCAGTACGGCAACCAATACATCTACCAGTCCATGCCACGCCTCCTCAGTCTCTGGCTAGACTACGGCACCACAGTCGTCGAGTCTGAGAAGAAGGAACGTGGGAAGAACTCACAGAAACTGCAGGCACAGCGAACCATTCTCAGCAGAATCAACAAGGTTTGCATCAGTGTGCATTATAAATCTACATTGTTTATATTAGTACAGATCCATTTAAGTCCAGATAGGAACAAGAGGTGACTAACACGGTCAGGTTGTCTGGCCTGCTGACTTAGTTAATGCATGTCATTGTGTCCCAATTCATGTAATGTAAAAAAATGTTTAACATTGTCCTATTGTCAAGATGTCACTGAAGAAAGAGCTAGAGTGATTTCCTCACCCTGGCACGGCTGTAAGTTCTTTTAAAGGAAGAATGGTTGATATTGGAAACTATTTCCATGCATTGCTGTGATGCTGAACAAGTATGCCAGTAAGTTTGCCAACAGGTATGGTTCCACACTGAAGGGATCCTAAACAGGTGTGATTCTACTCTGATATAATGCTCATTAAGTATGTTCCACTGTCACAGATTATCTCTTCACTGGGTCGTCAGCTGCAGCCGTACCAGTTCTTCACAGCCTTCCCCCAGCTAATCTCACGTATCTGCCACGCCCACCCTGATGTGTTTCAACAGTTACAGGTGTGTGACTGTAGGGACTCCTGTTTTGTCAGCTGCTTCCACAGGCCAGCAACTAGATATATAACAACTGTTTGCTGTTACTCTATTTCCCTGAACAAGGCTTTAAATATAAAGATGTTGAAACTACACAACAGAATACACACCCACACCCACACCCACACCCACACCCACACCCACACCCACACCCCCACACCCCACACCCAACACCCAACACCCCACACCCCACACCCCAGAAAAGTATGTTCAAAAGGCTACAAAAATAGATCTTTAAGTATTCGGAAAGTTAGTGAGAGTAATAAGAATTATCTGTACCTTACATTCTTAGATGTTATCTTCAGAGACAATATATTTTAGAAATGATTGGTTCAAGGATATCATGTCTCATTTGTTACAAAAAGTGTGTGTATATTGAGGGGGCGGTGGGGTAGCCTTGTGGTTAAAGCGTTGGCTCGTCACGCCGAAGACCCGAGTTCGAATCCCCACATGGGTACAATGTGTGAAGCCCATTTCTGGTGTCCCCCGCCGTGATGTTGCTGGAATATTGCTAAAAGTGGCGTAAAACCAAACTCAGTCAGTCAGTCAGTCAGTGTGTATATTGTATTGTCTTATAAATACCACTATGCATGTTTTCTCCCCCAGGACCTGATTGCCAGTGTGCTGGTGCTGTACCCACAGCAGGCCATGTGGATGTTGATGGCGGTGTCAAAGGTGGGTGTCACAACACACATTCCTTCTTGTTAAAGTGCTGAGCTCAGTTAGGTGGTAAACATTGCCAATCCACAGTAGCATGACACATCGACAGATTTGGGTCTACACATTCCATTCCTTTGTAGGATTTGACTTTTACAACCTGAACAACTGTATTTATTTCAGCTTGTATTTATCACATTTTTGGTTGTCCAATATTCTTGTGTTCTAATTGTACATCTCCTCACAGGAGAGAATCATCCTCCAGTTCTTTTGTCTGGGATCCTGCTATTGATCAGGTCATTGAAAGCGCTCCAGCTTTGGCCATAATGTGTGTGATGCAGATCTTGTCAACATGCTGTTCTGCAGCCTGTTGTGGACACTGTAGCCACTCTCAACACCCAAATGAGTTGCACCTTAATCTCAATAGAAGAGACTTCATATGGTTTTGCTTAGTGGTGGTCCAATTAATTGAAACAATTGAAGATTGGTCGCAGTGACCAAACGACCATACAATCAATCACATTTTCTCATAATCAAACATAAACAATTTTGGAGCTACTGTTTTAATGTTTGAAACACTTGACGATGGAACATACCTTAGAAATTGTCAGGGCCTGAAAACGTGTTTGATTCCTAGAAAACTCAGTTCACCTACTGAAAATTCATCACTGAATATTTCTTGAAAAACCCAGGAAGTTTATGTTCATGATATATTAATCATCACTTTAAGGAAGCAAGTTGCATCATTTTACATTGGGTTTGACATTTGCAAATGCAATTTGCAAGTTTCTAACTAAAAAAACCTAAAACAACAACAGAGAACCATGTTATCCTTACCTGCAAAAACACCCTGAATAATAAAATCTGAAAAATGACGCTGACCAATTGTTTTCGATGATTGCTCGTAGGTAATGAACCAATCATCAGTTGTGTGATTTGAACCAATTCCCTACACTAGTTTTGCTAGAACGTGTCCGTAAATGATGCTTCTCCTATTTCCAACCGTAACCTTAATGACCCCAACTGGGTGCCATATTCTGTTTGTTACCAACAAGAGGGTGTTTGCTGATTTTCTACTCTACCTTTGTGAATCTGGAAATCTGCTTGTATGTGGCAGTGATCAATCTTATTCCTGCTACAAACTTGCCATATTTACAACTGGAAGACAAGTTCTTGATGAACCTCATTTGCTATGTGTTTAAAAACAGTGTGTAAAAATTAAAGTAACCTGTATGACTAAAAATGATTTCTCCTTCTTTCAGTCTTCCTATGCGATGAGAGTCAAGAGATGTCAACAGATCTTTTCCACATCAAAGTAAATATACAACTGTTTGGCTTTAATTCTTAGTTACTGGATTGACGTCACCTCCCCTCTTCTCAATGCTGTAATCCTGATCGCAGAAACTAGTGTCATATGGATACATATGTCATATATGACTCTGTGTTAAAGAGAGTGACAGAGGCCCAATCATAGCAATGTGTTTGAAGGATTTTCTGTGACCAGATTCGTGTCAGTGTATCACTGACAAAATGTTTGCCCTCTTTAAGTGACATGTAGAAGTTTGAATGATGAAGAAAGGAGACAATTCGGTGTAATATACAGCTTCTTTGTTCAATGAATGCGATGGTTCGGTATGTTTTTTTTAGCAATTGAATATCTACTCCAAAACATCACATTCACTGTAATAAAGAAATTGGCAAGCCATAGAATTATCTCCCTTGACAAAATCGTCTTTGACTCTCAGCACTGTTAATGATCTGAAGCTGAGACCTGCACCTATTAATTTGTGAAATGGAAATGAGTAATTGTCAAGATGTCATCAACAATTTTAACTGATAAACATGCTACATTTGCATTGATTTTTGTCATGCTTGCAGCTATCTTTTTTTTTTCCTGGGATGGAATATATTTCTGATCCATTCTCATTGTGTTGACATTCTGAACACTTCTGTTTGTGTTAAGTAAAGTGTGGTAGTAAGAATTGAGTGAGTTTAGGTTTGCACCGTCTTTAGCAGTATTCCAGGAATATAATGGCCGAGGACACCAGAAATAGGATTCACATATTCTACCAATGTGGGGAATCGAACCCAGGTCGGCGTGACGGCGACCACTTTACCACTAGGCTACCCCACCACCCCTGTAGTAGGAAGTGTCGGTAGGAATAGCAAAGATCGATGTTTCATTGTTGGTTTATGCAAGTGATGCCGCCATATAGCTGGAATATTGCGGAGTGCGGCGTAAAACTAAACTCACTCACTCACTTATGCAAGTGATGATACACAACTGACTGTCTGTTTTGTGCAGGGAGAACAATCCGGATCTACACAAGTTCATCCAGGTGAGTACATTATATGTTTGCAAGTGTCATGTTTGGATATTTGATCATGTGTCATCCATAATTTTTAGTACTGTCAAACTTCTTTATTATTACCTTTCAAACTTTTTGTAAATATGATTAAATTTCAGGTGACTAGACTGATTGAGTATCTTCATATCCTTCTTACCCAGATTGCTCATAATATCAATCTCAGGATTGGCTAGTTCATACTTAGTTACATACATGCTGCTGGGAGTCGGTGGGGTAGCCTAGTGGTTAAAGCGTTGGCTCGTCACGCCGAAGACCCGGGTTCGATTCCCCACCTGGGCACAATGTGTGAAGCCCATTTCTGGTATCCGCCGCCGTGATATTGCTTGAATATTGCTAGAAGCGGCATAAAACTAAACTCAGTCAGTCAGACATGATGCTGGGATAAGCTGGAATATTGGTGCTAAACAGCATTCAGTAACTTTGAGAACATTTTGTGAGACCACTTCGTTGAGTTTATCAACCTAGTAGGTGACTAGTATTTCAAATGAAACGTTTCTTGTTTTCCCAGGATGCAACTAGACTGACGGAGCGACTGCTGGAGTTGTGTGAGAAGAACTATGGGCAGTCCACCACACTGAGCATGTCCACACACTTCAAACCCCTGAAGAGACTACTGGAGGACGAGTGAGTACTGCCAGTTGTCTGTGTGGTGAACTGTGTTACAGTGTATACTCCATCAAAATCCTTTTGGGCAAACCAAACAGGACCCGTTAAAATTTGCAGATAATGAGAAATTAACTTCAGTGAACTTCATGGTCACATGATAATCAAAGGTTTTCACATCCTAAACAGCAGGTTGAAATGATTTCCAGTTACCCAGATGTTTTAACATTCTCACATAACTCAACTCCTGTATGAACCATGGATTAACATAGCCAGATTCCTGAACAGCTGGGTACATTTGTAATCAATTTATTAAAATGTTATTGCAGAAACTTCAGTTCTATTCTGCTGCCTCTTCAATCTGCCATGACGGTCAAGTTGCCCAATGTCCAGGGTGTAGCATCCAACCACAATGCTTTCCCAGACACACAGGTCTACATCAAGGGCTTTGACGACACAGTAAGTCGACATAGTTCCTGAATTGATTTCACTATTTGCCTACAGGTGTCTCTGTCTTTCTAACCCGTCCATGAACCAAAAGCAAACCTGTTTTGTGTATACAACATTTTCAGACAGGTGAGACCATAAAGGCAAACGTTATCTAGATCAAAGATTGGTGAGGCCAAACTGTCCTCATCAATCACTGTATGGTCACTATCTCAGGTGCAACAAAAGCTGAGAAGAAATTTTAAAGATCTTTCAGTGTACATGTCTTTCTTTAAGACAGGATATAACCGGTTTATTGGACAAGGTACTGGATTTCTCCTGTTTGTTTTACTTGATTTTGAACTGCACATTTCCAGATTGAAATCCTGCCATCATTACAAAGACCTAAGAAGATTACCCTGATTGGCAGCGATGGCAAATTCTACAACATGATGTGTAAACCAAAGGATGATCTGCAAGGACTGCAGGCTGATGGAATTCAATACTATAGTGAACAAGTTCCTTCGAAAAGGATCCTGAATCAAGAAGAAGAAATCTTCATATCAGAACTTACGTAAGTGTTTGCTGAATACCCTCCATCCTCTTCATTTTATGGCACACATAAATCATTTCCAAGCAAATTGCATTCTCTTTGAAGTTGTTTGTATGTCAGTTGGGTTGTTTTCATTATTATGTTATTTGGTAGATTTTCAATGTTTTAATGTCATTATTTTTTGGTAGGAGTTTGAATGCACATTTTTTCCCATTTACAAATCCAGTCATCTGATTCAATCATCCACTCGTCCAATCTCCACATCAGTCATCTCATTCAATCATCCAGTCAGTTCATTCACTTATCCCATTCACTCATCCAATCATCTCAACCCGTGAAGGTACGGGTTAGACTATAGATCTTCAGCGACCCATGCTTGTCGTAAGAGGCGACTAACGGGATTGGGTGGTCAGGCTCGCTGATTTGGTTGACACATATCATCGGTTCCCAATGGCGCAGATTGATGCTCATGCTGTTGATCACTGGATTGTCTGGTCTAGACTCGATTATTTACAGACCGCTGCCATATAGTTGGAATATTGCTGAGTGCGGCGTAAAAATAAACTCACTCACTCACTCACCCCAATCATCTCATTCAATCATCCACTCATCCAATCTCCACATCAGTCATCTCATTCACTCATCCAATTGTCTGCAGGTAAGGCCAAACACATCCAGATATCCATGCTGGTTGTAAGATGCGAGCAATTGGATTTGGATTTGGTGGTCAGACTGATGGGGCAGGGCTGGATTATCTGGTCTAGACTTGAATACATACAGGCCCGCGTGACAGTACAGGAACATGTATTCTCTCTCATCACGTCTTACTGATGTATCAAATCATACCACTCTTTGACTCACGGATCTGATTACAGACGGTGGTTCCGCTTAATGAAGAGTGTGGACTGCTGGAGTGGGTGAACAACACAAGCGGACTCCGTTTTATCCTCCTCAAGCTGTACAGAGAGAAAGGGATCTACGTCAACGGCAAGGAACTGAAGACCATGATGCCAAGCATACACGCCCAGCTGGAGTAAGTCCTTGATGCGAGAAAAACAATGTCAAAACAGTCAAAACCTTATTTCAAATTCTGACCCCAGTTTCTATACACGGGATTGACTTATGAATTAGAATACTTTAATGCTTTGACTAAGTAATAATCTTTCATATTCATTTGGCCCCTTTCAAAATTATGTTTGATAAAAAATGTGTGGCATTGGCTGCCAGGACAATATCATGAGGATTCAGGTGAGGATGGTTTGAGGGGTCCCGAATTTGAAAAAGAAAAGCACTCCAACATTTAGCTCACAGAATGTTAAAGTGAAGTGTAAAGACATAGTACCTGTTAACGGTTCTGTTTCCAGGACAAAGATGCAGATCTTCCGAGAGAAGTTGCTGCCCCGTCATCCTCCCGTGTTCAATGAGTGGTTTCTGCGGACATTCCCAGACCCAACATCATGGTGAGGACTATCTGATGTTTCTCATCAAGTAATGCTTTGTAAGAAACTAATACCTTGATAGCAGCCATCTGTTGAGAATCAAGTGTAATCTGTGCTTAGTGAGGACTATCTCATGTTTCTCATCCAGTAATGCTTTGTAAGAAACTAATACCTTGATAGCAGCCATCTGTTGAGAATCAAGTGTAATCTTTGCTTGTCTTAAGATCCCACTAAATTAAATATGACGTGATTACAATGTGTAGCTTATGTGACAGTGTATTTGTGCCATAATGGCTTGGATCTTCACCCTTACTGTCAACCATTGGTGTACCTGGTCAGTTGTCATGGTGAGTGAAGGAGTGATTACTGCCTAATGCCTCATCCACATTCTTTACAGCAAGCAGTCATGGTGATACAATTTGATTACTGAAAACTCTGAGCTTCAGGACATTTTCTGTCTCGTCCTCATCAATCTCTCTTTCCAGCGACATTTTGAAGTTGCCCTGAAAAGGTTTTGTTATGCGCGAATCCCTTTCTACATGTATATCATCATTATCATCACAAGGAATATTGCTGTCTGTGACATAGATAATCATTCACTCTCAGCCATTCACAGGACAGCACTTCTGCTATTTTGTTTGAGAATGTGAATAACCTCTTGTTTCAGGTACAATGCCCGTCTGGCCTATGCCCGCACGTCTGCTGTGATGAGTATGGTGGGTTACATCCTGGGCCTCGGTGATCGACACGGAGAAAACATTCTGTACGACTCCACCACAGGGGACTGTGTGCATGTAGACTTCAACTGTCTTTTCAATAAGGTACGCAGATAGAAATGTATTTTTCCAGGGTGCCACAGGGCACTCAGATGCTTCGGTATATCCTTGGGAATTAAGGTGTGCCACAGGGCATTTAGATGTTCAGGTATGTTCTTGGGAATTGGTTTAGGTATGTGCTTAGCAAGTATAGTGTGCCACGGCGTCATCATTCTGATCTTTCCCCTGCATGTGAGATGAAACTGGAACACTATTCAAGGAGGTGTTATAATTGACTCACTCACTCCATTCTGGTTGACAATATATGTCATTGTATTTCGTCATAAGTTTTGCACTCAAATCATGTAACTTAGTTGTGTTGTAAACAATGCTTTGGAATATCTAAAGATAAATTTTGTCAAGACATTGTACAGTTTATCAAAAATGCTATCTGAAATAACATCAGTTATCCAAATAGAATAATTTGATTTTGCTTCAGTTATCTAACGGGGCGGTGGAGTAGCCTAGTGGTTAAAGCATTGGCTCGTCATGCCGAAGACCCGGGTTCAATTCCCCACATGGGTACAATTTGTGAAGCCCATTTCTGGTGTCCCCTCGCCGTGATGTTGCTGGAATATTGCTAAAAGCAGCGTAAAACCAAACTCAGTCAATCAGTCAGTTATCTAACAAAAACTTATTATGAACTGATGATTACAACAAAGTTCATATTGGTCCGAGCCACTATCTTTTCGTCAACATTCAGATTACAAACTGCATTTATGACACACTTAGATTTGTGGTCCCTTCAAGTTAGTTTTAACCATTGTTTACTGTATTTGTTTGTTGCAATAATTAATGTAGACAAAGACTAGACTGATGTATTTTAATGGTCATTCTGTTGTGTTTGGACAGGGTGAAACATTTGAGTGGCCAGAACGGGTGCCCTTCGATTGACCCACAACATGGTCGGCGCTCTGGTAAGAACAGCTTTCTGTAACATCATTTCTTAATATTGTAATAAATAGTAAGTCTTAATATGTAAGTCTTGTTTGGTGGGAACTGGTAAGGTTTGTAAGTTGTAACAGTAAACTACTTGCTACATACAGTCAGTACAAACATTCTTATTTCATGACTTTAGCAACTTGAAGGTTATTTGTCTTTAGTTATCTGTAAAGTTCACCCTGCAGAAAATGGATACCCGGTGGGATAAGTCATGTGACTGTTAATCTTCTAGTGCCTTGAGTTATCCGGGGTAATAATAATCCTGCGCTATGAGCATGTTTTCAGTGTGGATTTGGCGCAATATAAATGTACTAATTATTATTATAATTATTATCCCCCGCAACGCGTTTTGCGGGGGGTATTAAATTGGACTCCGTCCTCCTCCGTCCGTCCACATTTGTCTTTTCCGGAGCAGAACTCTAAAACCGTTCAATATTTCTTCACCGAACTTGGCACATACATGGATCTGGTGGTGTACTGGTGCCTTTTGGTAGTTTTGGAATTCTGAATTAAATATTTTAGGCATTTTCCATGGCAACAAGTTCAACTTTGACTGAAATTAGTGGTAGTGCTCTTTTCCTGAGCAGAAGTCTAAAACCGTTCAATATTTCTTCACCAAACTTGGCACATAGATAGATCTGGTGGTGTACTGGTGCCTTTTGGTAGTTTTGGAATTCTGAATAAAATATTTTTGGCGTTTCCATGGCAACAAGTTTGACAGCCTGAAATTGTGGTAGTGCTCTTTTCCGGAGCAGAACTCTAAAACTGTTCACTATTTCTTCACCAAACGTGGCACATAGATAGATCTGGTGGTGTACTGGTGCCTTTTGGTAGTTTTGGAATTCTGAATAAAATATTTTTGGCGTTTCCATGGCAACAAGTTTGACTTAGCCTGAAATTGTAGTAGTGCTCTTATCCGGAGCTGAACTCTAAAACTGTTCACTATTTCTTCACCAAACTTGGCACATAGATAGATCTGGTGGTGTACTTGTGCCTTTTGGTAGTTTTGGAATTCTGAATAAAATATTCATGGCGTTTCCATGGCAACAAGTTTGACTTAGACTGAAATTTGTGGTTGTGCTCTTTTCTGGAGCAGAACTCTAAAACCGTTCAATGTTTCTTCACCAAACTTGGCACATAGATTGGTCTGGTGGTGTACTGGTGCCTTTTGGTAGTTTTGAAATTCTGAATAAAATATTTTTGGCATTTCCATAGCAACAAGTTTGACTTAGCCTGAAATTGGTGTTAGTGCTGCTTTCTGGAGCAGAACTTTAAAAACCTTTCAATACTCTCCTTCCACTTTTCTATATACACACCTAAATATTTGACATAATCATAACTCGTAGACATAATCATGAAGAGTATTTTGCCATTGCGGGGGATATTGATGACTTTGTCTTCTTGTTATTATTATAATGTTCCATGAACCACCTGCTTTCTGCATTTCACTTGCCCCTTGAAAAATATCCATGATTGTTTAATGCATGTAATCATCAAATATGATACCCATCTCTACAGGGTCCAATGGGGGTTGAGGGGATCTTCCGACAGGCGTGTGAAGTGACGCTGCGCGTGATGAGGAACCAGATGGACCCTCTCATGAGGTTGGGCTATTTTCACAAATCTATGTCTAAAGATATTTTAAGGTCACTTGGCTGAGAGTCAACTGATCTTTCATCTTGCCATATTGTTGTCTGTCTAAACTTTAGACTGCTCATTTTCACCCTCAAGGAAATGTCGCAGCTATTACATCTGTAGATAGGCACAGGTCACTGATGTCTGATTAATCTTGAACATGACTCTCCTGGTTGCCATACTAAGATCATCAACAAATTGTATATATGGCAAGAACATTGCTTTCGAAATAACACATGTACACATAACATGCTTTGCTGTGTATTGTGAGCATAGGCTCAGTTGCATCCAGAATCTCTTCGACACCACCATCACTGGCAATACTGCCATAACATCAATGTTTAACCTTTAATTTTTGCACTCTGGTCTGTAAGACAGACGTTTCTCTTTGCTTATTTTTCTTCACCTAAGTATGACCTATCTGATCTGTTCTGCTATTTCAGAAATATTTAGATGAACTACAGAGATTGTTGCTGTATATTTTGTAGCTAATCAAAACAATACATCATTGCATCATAACTAGAACTCTAATTGCGGTGTAGTGGTTAAAGCGTTGGCTCGCCGTCACGAAGCGGTTCGATTCCCACATGGGCACAATGTGTTAAGCCCATTTCTGGTGTCCCCTTGCATTGATATTGCTGGAATATTGCTAAAAGCGTAAAACTAAACTCAGTCAGTCAGTCTAATTGAAGGTTTATGTAAAACCACTTGAATCTTGAAACTCTCAAAGTTCCATTACATCAGGGCCATGAATCTTGTTATTTGCTTGTCATCATCTTTAGATTTACAACGGAAGTGCTATTTATTGACAAATATCCATAAATAGTGGTGCCACAAATAGTATTTTGTGAATTATGAACAATGAGAAGTAGTTTTGGATATCTAAAGCCAAGTAAATGATTGGTACTGTATTCCTTGTGTCAGCATCCTGAGGCCCTTCATCTACGATCCCCTGGTAGAATGGAGCAAGCCAGCCAGGGGTCAGAGGTCAAACCCAACAGAATCAGGAGAAATCTCCAATGAACAGGTTTGTTCTTTGATATCATATGCTACTGTCAGATACTGCATCAATGCCTGATGATCAAAATATCACTCTCACTCACTCACTCACGCACTCATTGAACGGGGAAAGTTCCATTTGCATATCTTGTTATCAAACCTGAATACAATGCAGGTTTAGAATATGCTTATGCCTCGCCATCACTCGTGACAAAGAAAACTTGGAACTTGCAATTTGATTTTAAGGAGTTAAGTTTCTGACGCTTATAGAATTGAGTTAAACTCTGGATGGCCGGGGTGTCAGTACTAATATATATAAGTATATTTCATAAAGAACTGAAATTTGTGACATGCTTACGACACAATACGTGAAATCTCTTCCAGGCCATGAGCCATGTCCAGAACATTGAACACCGTCTGAAGGGAATCCTGAAGACCAAGACAAAGCCAAGAGGACTCCCCCCTTTCCATTGAGGGGCATGTCAACTATCTCATTAAGGTATGCTTGTTCAGTTAAGCGGGAATTGCTCGGTGCTTGTATTAAGAGCTGACTGTGCTTGTATTAAGAAGCTAGGAGTGTTTGACAGTCACACGTTTTTTGAAAAGAGACTTGTGAAGGACTTTTACCAAATTTTACATTAACCACATTTGTGTTATATTTGGATTACACTTTCTCAGTAAAGTGCAGATCCTAGCACTCTTCCTGGGTCCCATCTGAGATTCGAATCCACACCATCAGAGTTGGGCACCTAATTGCTAGCACACAAAGTCAGCCATCCAACCCACTGCGGCTTCCATGTGTGTATTCATTAACCACATTGTCCAGTAGTTAGTTTGAAGTGACCAACAGTGCCTTTGTCTGTTCTGTTTTGTTAGTTATTCGTGCATAAATGTGTCCCCACTCACCAGTGGTGTAATGTGATGGTTTTTGTCCGACGTTTGTTAGTATATTTCTACATGTTACTTCTCATATTTATTGCTAATCAATCTATGTGTAGTGTTACTGATATTAAACATTCTTTCTTTTCCAGGAATCAACAGATGAGAAGAACTTGAGTCAAATGTACATTGGTTGGGCTGCGTATCTCTAGAAGTCCGTAGGTCACCGTGACCGAGTGGGTACTGATCATGGATGTCACCCTGAAGAAGATACATGTGGACATTTGACATAACTGGCTCCTTGACATTCTCTTCCCACAGAGGTTACTCCTGTCATATCTTCCTACATAACCTCTGTTCTAATACGACCCTTTCTTGGTGTCAGCGTTCAAGGCTCGTGATTGGAGACAAGCCGATTTAGTTGTGCAATCAGCGACGTTGTTTCAAAAGTGATCATTCGCAAGGCCTCGGTAATTTCCGTATGCTTCGGGAAAACTAGAACCTCTTCCCGAGCGCGATGCGCAAACGTTTCTTCTAGACAGAACTCAGTCATGTAATGGCGTATCAATGGCGTCTCCATCGCCCTCGTTGACAACGGACAAGCTAGCCATTAAACGTCTTGTGTGTAACATCAACACAATTCCCCGGCAGATGGGGGATATTTGTGGCCCCGCATTTGCTTGTGTTAGTCAAATTGAATCTAAGTCGATGTAACACGTGTTCTGATTGGATAGAAAGAAGGGAGATAATTCGTGTTGCGATCTTTTGCCGCTAGGGGATTTTACGAGGACCGGGAAATATGGCCGTATTAGAACAGAGGTTATGTAGGAAGATATGACAGGAGTAACCTCTGTGGGAAGAGAATGGCTCCTTGACTGATAGATGCTGATTTAGACCAGATTTCTTGTAACAGTTTTGTTATTTGTGTTCTTTCACACATCTTACACTAAATCATCATCGGAGATGAGTACTAGGCTTTCTGTTTACTTACTTCTATGTAAATTATTAATTTGTTATCTGTTTTTGAAAAGATGAAACATTTTGTGTTCAGTTTCGAACTTGTGTGATGAGTTACATGACTGGTGTGGCTACAACCGTGTTAGTTATTTTGAAGTACATTTCATTTGTGTTGATTTTGTTTTCCAATAATGATATTTTTCTCTACAAAAGATAACATTAAAACTGCTGGTATAAGAAAGGTTGTCTGTATTTATTTTACCATATTCATCAAAATACATTTTAAAAAAACCAGAAATATGTTTGTCCAGACATTAAGTGGATAACTTATCTCATATGACTAACATCATGTGCTGCAAAATTATAACAGTGCAGACATGGTATGTTTGTTTGGTTATGTATTTGTTTATTTGTTGTTTAATCCCTTGTTTGATGGATGGTCAGCAACCCTTACTTGTTATAAGAGGTATAATGCTTGTAAGAGGCTGCTTATAGGATTGAGTGGCCAGACTCGCTGACTGATTTGATCCAAGACATTCAGTCACTAAGTTTTCTGGTCTACATGTTTATTTATATTTTAAAGGTCCCTGTCATATAGCTGGAAGCATAGGCGTGTGTGTGTGTGTGTGTGTGTGTGCCACCCACCCCTTTGTCCTGAAAGTTTAAATTACCAGTGAAACTTCATGAAAATGAACTGTGCACCAACCCCTTTCTCAAAAAGCTGTATCCGCCCCTGGGAAGGCATGTTAAACAGCAAACAAACTTAAATAATGGGTACAACACTATTTTGGTGTAGATGTTGATTGCAGTGAAGGGACCCTAACTCCAGGCTTCAGAATGCTCAAGCCAGAATCACATATCGAAGCCTGGCCTTGTGTATATTCTTACTGGGTATATATTATCATTGAATTAATCATGTCTTTGTATCATGTACAATGACCACAGTAGCAGGTGAGATGTCAATTTCCTGTTGGCCTGTTCTTGCTAATTGTGTAATGAGTCACTGCATCATGGCTGTTCTTTACAATGAATAGATTTCTAATAATAGAATACTGGTCCCCCTCAAGAGAACTTCCATTCATGTGGGTACCTGATGCAATCACAACAAACGAATATTACTTCCTGACAAATTTGAAGATGGATGTCCCATTCAGACATACAATGATCTTGTTTAATGATTTTGTACAAAATGAATCCCTTGAATTCAGAAGGTGAATTAATGTTGATGAACCATTACACATTTGGCACAGGCTTGAGTTTACTTCATGTAAATATTGTTAGTAGATCGTGGCAGGAACTGAAGTGTTAAGCAGATAACAAAATCATAACCATCTTAATTTTGCTTTCAAATCTGTACTCTCAGCATGCGTTATCTGGATGTATTTCAGCAAGCAGTAAATGCAAACAATTTCATCAATTAATTTTGATATTATATCCTAAAGGTCACTTGTCTCAACAAATACCATTGAGATGATTATGTGACCATTTGATAGCTTTTAATGGCTTGTTTTTTCTCTCGTGGCAATCTCGAATTTTGTTCTGCATTATTACTGGGTGGTGGTAAGTGTTTAACAACATAATGATTGTGAACACTGAGACCTAAAAAAGATCCTCTCACCTGATAAGGTTAATATTGCATTAAGAAATTGCTTTTGAATTTACATAGCAATTTCCCCATTAGCTCACTTCCTTGTCATGTTCAAATGTATACTAGCCACATAAAGAAACTGTGCATTGTCAAAATATTATCCCAGTTGATAAGTACGATAACAATGTCAAAGGTACATATAAACTTTTATGGAGGGATCATGAGACCATAACACGTCGGGAGAATTTCAATTGAAAAGTCAATCACAATGACGTCACGAGTCCACAAGCGGGACAGGGGTCAACGACCATGTGGGATGTCACGCCAGATTCTCTCAAGTTCTGTTGCAATGTCAAGGACGCTATCTGGCGGATGAGGAAGATCCATCTCGTCCCAAACATGCTCTATCGGGGAGAGATCCGGTGAATTTGCAGGCCAAGGCAGTAAGTCAACGTTGTGGTGTTTCAAGAAATCCATAGCAACCCTTGCCGTATGAGGGCAAGCATTGTCCTGTTGGAATGTTAACCCAGGGCCATGACGTTGCAGAAAAGGAATTGCCACAGGTTGAAGAATCTGATCCCTGTAGCCCACACCAGTTAAGTTGCCCTGAACAATCACCAAAGGAGTTCTTTGGCGTGCTGTTATTCCACCCCAAATCATCCGCGGAATCACCACCAAAGCGATTCCTCTCCAAGACACAGGCCTGTGCATAACGTTCTCCCACAGCGTCTATAGGCACGTTGACGTCCATCACTATGGGAAATGTTAAACCTGGACTCATCTGTAAAACAACATTTCTCAACCAAACAAGGGTCTGCGGACATGATTTGGCACCACATTCAGCGAGTTTGTCGATGGCGTTTGTGTCAGGATAGAGCCATTATGGTGGGGCGTCGTGGTCTGATCCCGTGATGACATAAACGTTGTCGAACTGTGTTGGGGTGGATACCGGGAAGTCCTGGGATGGTTCGGGCAGTCATCACTGCAGTCTGAAACCTGTGGTGAAGATGGGTCACCCTTATCCATCTGTCCTGTCTTGGCGTTGTTACACGTAGACGTCCAGAACGTGGCCGATCAATGACTTCATTTGTGTTCTCGTAGCGTCTCACCAGTGCAGAAATGGTGTTCCAGTGGCTGTTGAAATGTGCAGCCACTTGTCGTTGAGACATTCCCCCACGGACCATCCCAATGGCCTCATGACGTTGTGCAGACGTGAGCCTTGGCATGCTATGCGTTTCAATAGCCGTTTAATTTTTTGAACGATCGCAAGGGCAGGGGTTGAGCTTTCCAAAGTGACAGTATTGTGTGTCATTCATTTGCTCTGTTTCTCTTTCCCGGAATGCACGTGCAACAACGTATTGCACGTCTCAAGGAAGAACCCACTGACGTCACGTAACATGGCACGTGCATGCATGTTGGATACATGTAACTAATCTGTCAGTTTAAATCCTTATGTGTCTACACAGGTTTGATAAATTTAGATTTTAAATTTTTGTATGCACAGTTTCTTTATGTGCCTAGTATATATGTGTGTTTTATGCCAGTGCTGAAGGCATGGTCACACAGTCAGTTACCTACTTCGTCAGGAAAGTGTTTTCAAGCAGTTCAATTCCGTCCTTAGACAGTTCATATCCGTTCTTAACTCGCCCAACTCGTTTTTTGGCAGTTCTCTCCTTTCCTAACAGTAATCAAATCCTGGTCGGATTTGTATAAGTACCCAGTACGTTCTTGCCCATTCTCATTCCTGATCTCACTTTCAATGTGGAAACATCAACATCACCATGCCTACAAGTGGCTCTGTCAACAGGGCACTTGACTTATTTCCTGAGATCCAGTACCAAAGCATTACACAGATATCTTCCACCAACAAGCAGACTGTGTTTCTGGCTACCCGGAATTCATAATGCAAGGTGGCATAGGAATCTCCTGATGCCAGATGACGCAGAGCGATGGCGAGCTTCATCCCTGGTTCCAAAGCTTTTCTGTAATTTTTGGCATCATCTTTTTCAATCAAGGGGATGATGCGTTCAAGAAGTTCATAAAACATGGGTGGGGTGATAATCAAGGCGGGTTCCTCCATAGGTTGATGGTAATGTCCCACAGCTATTCGCATCTCACGTTTAAGCCAGTTCCTCACCCAACAAGTTCTTCGTCTTTTCACCCTTTCTTGCTCTGCCAATTCATTGTACCCTTGCTCTGCTTTCAATAGAAATTGCAGGAAACCAGCATTCATTATGCTGTTCATGTTTCGCAATTAGAAATCTCTATCCCAAATGACGAAGGTGTTAAAACACATGTATTTATACCCTACCTTGTCATATCGTACTGTAGACGGTTGACTACATAAACGTACTAACGAGTAGAACATAATGAGAACATATTGCAAACTTTTAGAACCATGTAGAAACGTACTACGAACTTCTTCAGAACAATTCATTTTGTTTTGAACGTATTTGCACGGAATAGCAACTAAGGACGTACTGCGGTCAAGTGAGGTCAGTCTGCGAATGGGACTGACGTGGTGGAAACTGTACAAATGTGTTGCAAATGATGTCCGACTGCACTACGTCCGCACACGTGCCCAGTAAGACTGAAGTACGGCAATAAGAATAACCATTGTCGATGATCCACTGAAACGAATTAAACGTTATGCGCATGAATGTCTGATTATTTTCTTACATTAGGTTTTAATTATATTTGCAAGTTGATAGTAGGCCTACTGAATCTTCCCCATAATTCAAAGTGTCAGCTGCGGAGAATAATCAGTTTGAGTATGTGTGGAAACCTTTTCCATTGGTCGTGAAAGGCAAACTATAGTACTGTCGGAAATGCTAGAAAAATGCTTTTTGACTTATATTTAAAATTCAGAGGTATTAAATAACAAATATCACTTCAAGAAACATCTACCTAATGTAGACCGAGGGAATAAATTTTGAGACATGCTCTAAAATGTGTTTTTACATATGAAAATACCAAAAACTTAGAAAAATAAGGGGTAGTTGGACGTTATTTGAAACAAACATTAACTGCCTGTGTTCCGTCATCAGCATGCACGGTATCGACAGGTGAAATTGACACGCTCGGGGCGAGGGGTCATCTCAATAGATGTTTTCTGCAAAATGTTGAATATGTGTACTTATAGTATACGTATCAGTTATGTAAGGGATCATTTGTGTATGTGTGTTTGTTTTGAAATAAACATACGAATTACTGTACATTGGAAAGAATCCTATCACTTGTGTTATCTTATCGACTGCTTGTAGAAATGTGCAACGTTTTAATAAATGTTTTGCATGTCAACAGTATATTTCATTGAAAAAATATGGATGTAATTCGGTCAGTTTAATCTAGTTGTGAACATTGGCCAAAGATTAAACGAAGTCACTGGTGTAGCTTCTTTAGAATATATATATTTTCTTCTCATAAAGTTTGTAGACCGCCCGTCTAAGCACTCCCTTGTCAAAGTTGTCAAGGATGGTTTTACGTCCCGGTTTTGCATTTGAGACGGTCCCTGTCTTGTCTGATTTGTTTACAATATTGTAAACTTGTTGGTAAGAAATGCCAACAGCTCTACGAGTTCTGTAATAAACCCTTTCTAAACTAATGAAAGGTTTACCTCTGTCTTTTTTAAGCAGAAAAAACCTATAAACCTT